AAGTCGAACTAAATTTTATTTTGAACTCTGAACTGACAAGTAACTCTCAAAAGTTTAAAAATATCAATCGGAATTTGCAGTCACTCTTTTCAATTGTTTTTGGATTGAATGACAATTTGTAGTGGTTTGATCTTTTGAATTCTGTGCTGTTATTACATGATAATCCAACCTTAGATCTAGTTCTCAAGGTCTTAAAAGGTGGCAAATTGTTTTAGATTTTGATCTATTAGGTTACCGCAGTAATTACAAGAGATTACTAATAGCTTAGGCTGAAAAAGATAGAATCAGATATGACTCTCAAGTTGCAGATCTTTTATTTTGTGAAGCAAATATTCGAGCTTCGTTTAACTCAAACATTTTAATTTAATGCTCGTAATTTGTGTTTGTTCAGTAATCAGAAGAAATACACTTCATTTTCAGTTCTCTGAAACACGTAAGTTTCACGTGCTTTCAATTTATTCTTCATTTAAATGACACATTCAAACAAATTTTTGCATCTATTTCTTTCTGAAATGTCCATTTTAATGAATACATCTAACGAAATAATTCTATTTGAACTTTTAATTTACAGTTAGTAACTGACTGACTTTGTGGACAACTGTCTTACTTACTTGTTTCTTCATATCATTCAACGTAATAATTAAAACATGCAGGTTTTGATTATTTTTTGCTTCTCTAAGTAACCGTCACTGAAATTCATTATTGAAATTGCTCACACTGTTTTATTATAAATTTATTGTGCAAGTTTACGTTTTACGTAACACAAAAATATTTTCATAGAATAAATTTGTGTCGATAGCAATGACTGTTTCTGTCGACTTTTGCTTGAATTAGGTTAGTAACGATCAACCATGAAAATGCTCGTTTTCAGGTAAATTATTGAGCAAAAGTAGCAGTAAAGTGACGTTGAAATGAATTATCATTTACTTACTTATGTGCTACTTACGTGGTATGACTTAGGAATATCATTTGCCCGTAGAACTTTTGAATGTGCGGATGAATTATGTGAAGTACAACCGGCCAATGTAGAACGGCCGAATATCGTAATACTTATGGTGGATGACTTGGGTGAGCGACAAATCCAACTATTTTTGAAAATTACCAAACGCAAATTTAAAAAGTATTCGGAAATCAAAAACCTTTTATATTCGTAACTTCTTTTCTTGTAGTCATAATTTTATTAGGGCTTCATTTTCATAGCTTATTTTGTTTACTTCTTGCAATCTGAACTCTTAGGAACAAAAATGTTTTCATAATTTGAATAATTATTGAAAAAATTAGTAATTACACATTTGAATTATTCGGATATTCTTATGATTTTTGCATTTTTTATTAAAGCTATAAGTAAAATTTTGTAACACTTAACTAAAGAGCAAGATGTGGTATTTTTGAATGCATATTTTACACTTAATTTGCACTCCCCTGAAATTTTTAAATTGGACCGCGCAGAAATACCATCTTATGGGCATTACTGTTGTAATATATTCTGGTGGAACAGTTCGTTATTGACTGATTGGAGGATTTAATATGATTTACCCACTTTAAGCAATGATGATATCGGAAGTGGGTGATTTGATCTACTGACTTTAGGTTATGGCGATCTACAAAGTTACGGACATCCAAATCAAGAAGTAAATGAAATTGATGAGATGATTCGCGAAGGAGTACGATTTGTGCAGGCATACTCTGCTGACAGTATGTGTTCTCCCAGCCGAGCGGGTTTCATGACGGGTAATCTGATTTCATTAATACTTGATATGACTACACTTGATTGTTACTTGATACTATTATGGACTCATTAACTTTTAGTATTAATCTAATCTCATTATGATTATCTTATTTCAAAAATTTAAAGTTTAAAGATGCAAGTAATCAATGCATGGCTGGAAACAAAGATTATCACTGCGTTAATTTATTAGCTTATCTGATTCAATCAATACACACTTTCTATCAAAGATGTGTGTTAGAAATAACTACTGATCATAGGTCGTCTCCCGATCCGACTTGGAGTTACCGGTGGAGCGAGAGTATTTCTACCTCATGATATTGGTGGTTTACCTCGAGAGGAGGAAACCATGGCTGAAATGCTAAAAAGATATGGTAAAAAGTTAATTGTGGAGTTTGTCAAAATTTTTGTTACATTTAGCAGTTCATCAGCTAATAATTTTTACACTGATCTGATGCGAATTAGTTCTAAATACTGAGTCATTTTTGCATTTCATTCTCAAGATTAATTAGGTCTTTTAGGCTATGCAACGGGTATGATTGGAAAATGGCATTTAGGTATAAATAAGTTTAATTCTACTGATGGAACTTATCTTCCATCTCAACGAGGTTTCGATTTCGTTGGTTTGAATTTACCTTGGACCAATGTTTGGCAGTGTGATACTACAAAGGTTTGTATAAGCACTACTAACAACCGATTTCAAGCAAATTTTCAACACATTTGCTAATTTGCACATTAATTGATTTCAATTTCAATTATTTTTGCATTTGGTAATTTACATGTTAATTGAATGCATAATTAAATAGATATGCCAGTTTTTAGGTTTGCCAGTATGCAATTCATTGTGATTAACTTGAATCTGAGTGTATTTTCAAATTTTTGAATTCGATAATTTGTATGATTTAAATCTAAATGATTTCAATCTTCTCCATCCTTTCTGATAAATGCAAAGGTATTTCAGGAGTTCGTAAGTAATCCAAACCGAACGCTGTGTTTTTTGTATGATGGAGATTCAATCATTCAACAGCCAATTCAATTCCAGCATCTAACTGAAGCATTGGTTAATGACTGGAAGCGATTTCTGGGTAATTCCTCCTGCACTCCAATTTGTCTTTTATCATTTGATATTCAGTCTACTTTCGCTCCATTACTTAATAATGCGATTCTGTTTTGAAAAGTAAAGTACTGATAAATTTGACGCACTTGTATACATGAATTGTCTTTGAAAATTTTGCAAATTGATCAAAATTAAGATTTTCATCGCCAGCAAAAACATTTGCGAAAGAAAGCCATTCGCTGAAATGGCAATCACTGATTTCGCTTCTTCAAGCTGATTTCTCTTCTGCTTTGCACAGTCTTTCTGCCTCTGTGTTGCAGTGAATTTGTTGCGAATCTCAAAGTTATATTAATTATTAATATATTCTCATAATTGCAGCCAGTGTTACTTCTGCAAAATTTTAGAGGAAAGAATGGAAAACGATATCAGCAAAAAACCGTTCTTTTTCTATTTTTCATTCCCACATGTGCACAGCTCACAGTTTGCTAACCAACGTTTTCGATACAGTTCGGTCAGAGGTCAATAAATTTTATCATCTTTTTCTCATCAAAAATAACATTTCAAGTTAAGCCAAAAAATCAGAAAGTTCGGTTATTAAATAGAATTTGCATAATTTGCATTTTAATATATTTTTGTACCAGAAAATTTTGTAAAAAAGAAACATCATCGATATCATTAGCGCTGTAGATGATAATAATGATAACGATGATATCAACAATAGTAAATTTTGTGGAAATAATATCAATAGTGATATTTAATAATAAAAGAACAAAAATGAAAAAGAAGAAAATAAAAATTTAGGATTGTTTGGCGATAATATCAACGAAATGGCTTGGGCTGTTGGACAAGTTTTGGACAGTTTGCGGCAAAACAAAATTGATAAAGAGACATTAGTGATATTGATGTCCGATCATGGACCACATCAAGAACTTTGTCTCAATGGGGGTAGTACTGCGGGGTTAAAAGGTCATCAGTGTTATTTGTGACACGGAAATTCTTGATCTTTCTGCGTAATCATACAGTGAAACTTCCAGTTACTAAAATGAGTTTGACATTTGTTCAGTCCCAAGTCTGACATTTTTGCGCATTTACAATATTATTTTAAGTGTAGTTGTAAATATATGAAAAAAATTTTTTTTTAACTTTTATTTTTGTTCTTATGATTAAGTCTAGCAGATAAAAATTTCCATATACTTACTGCGATATTTTAGAAGCGAATTTATTAGTTATGAATGATTCTCAGTAATACTTCAGGTGGCAAATCAAACAGTTTCGAAGGTGGATTCAGAATACCTTTTGTTTCTTGGATGCCAGGAACAGTTCGTTCAGGTGTCACTTCACATGAAGTGATTTGGTCACTTGATCTGTTTCCAACATTTGAAAATTTAGCATCGAAAGGGGTAAAATGTTTTATTTTGAAAATTCTGAGTAGAATTAAACATATTTCAGTTCAGTTGTAGTCAATAAAAGTCACAATAAAGTTGCCAAGCTTTTGTTGAGATTTCAATTATTAGTTGTGAATAAAACATTAGCTGCCCTTTATCTTACATTCATTAATGAGACGATTTAAAAATACATCGAAATCCTTTCAACAAAGAATGAAAGTTGAAATCGAGCAGTAACTTTTGTAATTTCTTCTGAATTTTTTTCGATTCAAAGTTCATTTAAGTCACCGTAATTAGAGAATATTTTGATCACAAATGTTAAAAAGTTATAAAAATTGCTTCAGGCAATCAATCTATCACTCAAAGCATTGTGTTCAACTTGTCAAATCTATCAACATTTTTTAGAAAAATAGTCAGAAATGCATTTATTTTCATTATGCATATAAAAATTGCAAAAATTATTGTTAAACTTTTAGTTATTGTGTGTAGTTATTTTCAGCGAAAATTACAAAAAAAGAATGTGTTCTTTGACGGCATCGAAATATGGCATCAGCTCAAAGGATTCACTTCACATCCGCGAGGAAACCGGATTTCTGATGCACCTTTGGCTTTGAAGAGGCCTATATTTTATTATTGCAATACACATTTAATGGCAGTTCGATATGGAAATCACAAAGTTTGCATAAACTTTTGAATTTAAGACATTGAAAGAATTTGAGTGCTTTCAAATATGCAAAAACTGTAATTTTCGAACTAAGTTTGAAACCAAGGCAGGAAAAAATTTTTAGCCAATTTTTTCACTTGCAGTCGTAATTATAATATGAAAGTGAAGTAAATTCTTGAATGAATAATTGTATTTCATACTTTCTTGTGAATTTCGCTTGCGTAATTTAAGATTCATTTCAAAACATCGCCAATTTTCAAAAATAAAACCGATGATCCCCGAGTTGGTGAACTGTGTCCTGGTGGAAAACCCATTGATGATTGGTATCCGCTAGCAAAATTGAAAACTTAAAAATAACCTCATCATAAAATTACAATTTGATAGTTTTTTCGCTTGAAAGCTAATAATTGGAATTGTTTTAGATTTATACTCAAATTAGTTTACCAAATGAGCAGTTTTCATGCAATCAATTTCAATTTTCGTTCTTCCAAATTCAACAACTTTTGAATCTTTCATTTGCTACTTCTAGATAATTTGAAAAATAGTTTCTTGTGCAGCTTTTGAATTTTAGGTATGTATCTCAGCGTTGTCCAGAAGATCAACTACGAGTGCATGACCCGCCACTTGTTTATGATCTGCTTGTTGATCCATATGAAATGTATCCGCTGCAAAAAAATAAGGAAAAACTTGAGGAAATTATACAGAGTGTTTTACGAATACGAGAAAAGCACCTACAGACTGTTTCAGTTGTAGAACAACAATTAGGTAATAGCCGCATCACACTCGCAGTAAAAGTTCCATAAGTTCAATTCACTTAGCGCAGCTTGAACGATATTTTATTTAATTTCATATCGAAATGGGAGTAATTTTTTTAAGAATTCTGCAGTAGAAAGCGAAGTGCATTAAATTAATACAAAGTACTAACTCTACTTGGGAACGAAACCCTACGCTTCACTTCAAACTCCGAAATCCAGCTTTAAATTTGTTGAAAAATTGAGTTTACATCAGTAAAAGCGCATAACATTGATGGCAATTTCGCTGATGATAATTTTCTGATCCAATTTTTATCGGTTTGAAATTGTCAAGTTGTACTAATCGGAAGCATGTGCTCAAAGTTCCATGATCGAACTTGCACATAATTCACGTATTTGATCACTTAATATTCAAGGCAGTGTTCAACAGTGAGCAGAAAACTGAGGCGGAAATTGCACATAAGAAGTAATTATAATATTTAGGTAATTTCTCAACAGCAGTTTTGCCATGCTGCGATCCACCATATTGCCAATGTGATTTTTTGAGCAATGAACGGATTCATTTGGCTTATTCGAAAGTTATATTTGAGGATCATTGGGCTAATGATGTGCACAGTGGCATGTCATGGGATATTCCTAATTTATTACTGCATGAACGACAAATTCGATCCATGTTGAAAAGTAAGCTTAGCCTGTGAAGACTTAATCAGAACTTATTGTACGTCATTTGTAATGCCATGATTTTAGCTAGATTGGGAAGTCTTTATTGAATAGCATTTGTTACTTTGATTATGCTGCTATCTATGACTCAGGTTGTAATAGGACTTATTTCGTTGGCTTAATTTAAAGCATCACCATCAATCAATCTGAGCTGAACTTGCTGACTTCAAAGATGGCACTCTCTGCTGATTTGTATTATTGTAATATCAGTTAACAATAAATACGCACAATCATGGTTTTGATTTTTAGTTATATCTTTACCTCAATCGTTAACCACAAGTTTTGTCACTTCATGACCTTATAAAAGTTCATTTTTCTAGAACAAATAATTTAAAAATTTGAAATGATACATTCATCACGAGTTTATCTGACTTTTTATTTCAAATAATTTATTACTAGATTAGCCCAGAAAACAACTGTGAATTAAAATAACGTGAAAATATTGACTGAAAAGGAATGAACTTGAAAAGGGATGTTCTTTACGTGGCTTCGCGAATGATTTAATGTGTGAAAAATAAATGAAAGTTAAGACGTGAAAAGACACAAATTGCACACGAATGTGGACTAGCTCATATTTTAGTGCTTTAATTTTGCAACTTTTTTTCAATTGTATCTTATAATTCAGTATCTGAACTGAGAAGTACTTTTCAGATGCATCAGATCATGCAACGACAGCTCCAACATAAATAACATCGAAAGACCTGCAAGAACTAAAAAAGTATAAACTGAAAAATCTCGTGATCTGCGGTAATTTGATCTAGATGTGTTTGGCTGGAAAACTAGGTTGCGATATTGTTTTAATGTATAATTACCATATAACTAGATTAAGGTTTCATTTGAAGCTATATTAGATCTTTGAAATAAGCTACAACTTTTCATTTTTTCAGCTAAATTAACATTCAAAATTGAAGAACAAATAAGTACATTCATTTTGATCTCTTTCTGCTAAAAATCAATCATTAGCATGATCTGATCAATTACTAGACTGATTTACTAATCATTAAAAAGATTTTAATATAAAATACTACATAGGTGAAAATGCAAAGTATTGATGAGTTAAAGTAAGAATACTTTTCAGACTTTGCCATCTTTGGACTAAAAAGTTCAAAGTTACTATTTTTGCAAAAGGAATAAAGTCCACATGCAGTGAAAACTAACTGCTTTATCCTTCAAACATTCCATTCCACTTGTTTTTCTGTATATATTTTGTACTTTACAGTACTATACTCATTTAGTTTTTGGCCAACGTTCCATTCTCAATGAATGTCATATTAATTTAAAAGATTTGAATAAAAATTTTGAATTTAATTACTTAATTTTTCTCAGTAGTCAAGCTTGAAGAGTGCAACTTTTTGTGCTAAAGATAAAGCCATCATTCAGTCCCCTGCACTACTTTTATATCGGACTTGAAAGCAATGCATACGATCAAAATTCAAACAATTCGAAAATTGAAGTAATTTGAATTCATATTCTTGCACAGTGATAGTAAAGAATTCGAACTGTTCCGAGTTGTGAATTAGATTTCAGCTTTTCCTCGAATTTTCCATCAGAATGACTAGCCTTATTCAACTTAAGGCTTGACTACACCTGCCATGAACACTGAGGTTCCTTCAACCTTTAATCTAACGAAATTCGCTGAATTCTCGAAGTTATGCCAATTTAACTAATAAGGCTCAGTAAAATCATGTTCAGTATCAATATTTCTTGATATATTTAATGACTTGGTGATTTGTCAATAAAATATCAGAAAGCTGTGTGCAACTCTAACAACCTTTACAACAGAAAATCATACTTTGCATAATTTAGGGCAAAATTTGTTTGATGCAGGAGAAAACTATATCGCAATGTTTAGTGTTTAGTGATCTCTTTTGTTGATTCAATCGATAACAGACAACTCAAATGACGCGGTACAGCTTTCAATTATTTCTTCTAGTGATCTAATCAATAACAGATTATCAGCATTTGATGCTTCTTCCACTCACAAATCTGAAATGAGCGTCGAAATTCAGTCAACTGCCAAGTGCATTCAATAGTCAACTAATAGTTTCAATATCTTTCATGAGAAGAAGTTTTAGAAGTTTCAATTTAAAAAAATGAATAGTCGCCGCCGCATTACTTTCGCACTAATTCTCAGTAACAGCTAGTAAAAGTTTACTGCTGCGAGTAGTATCGAACATTTCACGCATAAAAAAGATATTATTCTCGCTTTCAGAACGTAATACTTTAATTTGTTTTATTGTTTGCAGAATCAAAAAAAGGCATCTTGCCAATGGAATTAATTAGAATATTTTAATACAGAATTGGCTAACTGAAACAGTCTTTTTGTCAGCTAATTATTTTGACAGAAAATGAATTAGTGACATGACATACTTTGCTGAGTTATTACTAAACTTGAATTTTATTGAAGTTGAAGTTAAGTTTCGTTCAGAAGGAAGCAACTTACATTCCAATGTTGCCATTATTCCATGCGTTTATAGACTTGAATATATTACATTACTCTGTTAGTTTTCATGACACGAACATCTGTGCTGAAACTGCTATTTTCGTAATGGGGCACCTTGTGCTCACTGAGCAATGTTCTTTCTTGGATCATTCTATTATGCATTGGTCAATTGTCCACTGCGTGTACTGTCCATTGGCTGTACCGTTTTTCTATTATTCTTCCCAGACGCGCAGTGTTTTCTGTTTGTATTTTGTCTGCGCGTGCTCCAAGTGTAGATTTCATGCTGCGCATGCGTTGTGAATGCATTTGCTTTTTCTCCGACTGTAGGGAAGAGAACTCATAATTAGGAGCGAAAATTCATATTTGTATGAGAAAGTTATAATTCAAAATTGGGAGATAGGTTGTCGAAAAGATTTATTAACAGTATTTCGCAGAGAAACGACACTCTAAGAGATAAGTCAAATGCATATTTAGGTTGATGGAAAGTCACCTTATTCGTTGTTTATAAATTTAGGCAGGCGGTTTTCGCACTTATTTCATTTTCTCAATTAATTTAAATGTATAATTAAATTTCAAGTGACCCATGTCGCTAGCAAGGACTCTAAAGCCTATAATTTGTCCGTCAATTTTGAATTCGGATTTATCAAATCTAGCAGAAGACTGCAGGAGATTACTGCAAGATGGAGCGGATTATTTGCATCTTGATGTGATGGATGGCCATTTTGTGCCTAATTTGACCTTTGGACACCCTGGTAAGTTGGATTTACGAAATGGCATATATTTCGTAAGGTGGCATTGAAGTATGTAATATATTTATTGATTTCGGGCAAAGCTTTTGTGAGCAGTTAATTTATATGGGAGATTGTTTTTCTAGCTAATTACATGCTCTCGTAATGACTGCAAATTTTCGTTTTCATTAACAGCCTCTACTCTTTTCTCAACATCGTGCTGTGATTCTTACAGTCTCATTCAAGCGACAGCTATCGTCTACAGATGCGGTTATTAGTGTCTGAACGTCATATGATAGCCTCATTACTTCAATTAACTAATATCCTATATTTTGCGAAAATTGACCTCTTGTGTACTTTCATTTATTATAATCGATAAAAGCAACAGGTGCCACTGTTAATTTTCAAAATTAATTGCTATTTGCACATTTTATGCACTTTCTTAAGTTATCAGTTGTTTGCGACGTAATCTTGGGCTGGAACCATTTTTCGATGTTCACATGATGGTTGATAACCCGGAGCAGTGGCTGGAACCAATGAAAAAGGTCACATGTGGCAGCATATGGCATTTTTTCTGTTGCGGAAGCTCTTAATGACTTTTGATCTTTCTTTATAATAGCATTTTCATACATATCTCTACTTTTCATGTTAGTAATTATTGTTTTATAAAGCTAACAAATCATTCATATAATACTGTTTTAGGCGGGTGCAAGCCAGTTTGTATTTCATTATGAAGCAATGGAATCAGCTGAAATCTGTCAAAGGTTTATCGCTACAATCAGGGAATCTGGTTTAAAGGTTAGCTGCAACTTAGAAAGTCGGTAGCCAATATAGTACACACGCTACTTTTAAATGCAGTTTTAAAGCATATGTCTTCTTTTTTTCATTATGTACCAATGGAATCAGATAAAATCTTATCATTAATCAATTCTGTAGATTAAATTTTTTAAAACGTTACACAGTGTCTTAATTCTACAATAGTCATAGATTAATGCTCCAGTGCATGTCAAGTATTGTATTTTATTTTGATTTGCTGTGCCAACTTGAAAATATTGGTAACATTACACGAAGAAATCAAAATTAGCCATCAGTGTTGTTTTGTTGTTGCAAATAAATTTGGGCAATTTTAGTCATAATTTTGCGTAACTTGGTATAGCTTAGTAAGCTCAGTCATGTGTTCTTAATGAAATGCATATTTCACTATTGGGGTTCAGGAAGTGCTGATGTATGTTTTGCTTTCTGAATTGTGTGATAGAAGATTAAGAATTGTCGTTTTCTTTTTTGAATATTAATTTTGACTGAAAAATTTTTTCAAGATTGTTTCTTGCCAAACCTTTAAATCGCAAAACATATTGCAAAATTTCATTCTTCAGGCCGGTATTGCTATAAATCCAGATACACCGGCAGATAAAATTCTGACTCTTACCGGCTTGGATATAATTTTAGTAATGACTGTCAACCCTGGATTTGGAGGTTATATTATTTTTTACTTTGAGTGCTGTCAAGATTGGTTCTTATTAATCTCCGACGTTTAATTCATTTTTGTTTTGTATTTCCGGTGAACTGATATTGTTGTTAATAATATCGTTCGTGTCAGTGCGACTTTTCCAGTCATATCTTAAGTGTAACTTGTATAATAATATTCAGATTGTTTTACAAGATTTCAAATATATATGGCGCTAACTCATGCGGAATGCACTTTTAAAAGTAATCCTTGCGAGAAGTGCTGAGTTGCAGGACAAAAGTTTATGGCAGGTATGATGGAGAAAGTTCGACTACTTCGATCAACTCATCCAGACTTGGACATTCAGGTTGATGGTGGCGTTACGTTAGAGAACATAGACATTTGTGCGAAAGCTGGTGCTAATGTCATTGTTTCAGGGACAGGGATTGTAAAAGCTCCCAATCCAGCAGCCGTAATTTCAGTTCGTTTTTACTTGAGTCGTTCTTTCAAGTTTTTTTTGTGGAAATTGGCTTTTTGGAATTGAGTATTTTGAATAAAAATCTTTTGTCTGTAATTGAATAAATTGTAAAACAGTAAGAATTGATTATTTATGCAATCAATATGATAATTTATGTTAAATTTATGAAATGAGATTTTTAGGAAATGCGGGAAAGAGTTTCATTGGCTTTAAAGGAATAATGAGAGCAGAAGTCAACCGAATTCAAATTATATTAGTCCCTGGAAATAATATTTCCTGCAGTTTGATGAAGATTCCAAATCATCATTTTTCATTCTTTTTTGGCCAATTCTGAAATTATGTCTAATTTGAATTATAGTGCCTGAAAAATTGTTCGTTACATTCAAATTGATTTTCTTCTAATTACAGTAGTGTGGTGCCAGATCCCGATACTATAATTATTATATCCATCCAAAAACTATGATTCTTTCTTGAAAGTATTTCTGCGCATCGAAGCCTCATTGGTCACTGTTTTGCATTTTAAACTTGAAAAAATCTGACATTGTTCACTCAAGAGTCTTGTAGAAATGAGACTGAAAATGTATATATTGCTGCTTTGTTTAAATAGTTATCAAATGCTGCGCCAAATTATTTTAATAGTCGAAAATTCACAGCTGTTTTTTTCTAAACATAAAACATGAAATGTGTTTGGAACTGATGGTGTATGGTGTGAAGAATGCGAAAGTCTAAGATGAAAAGTACGTCAGTTTCTTGGCTCTCAGTAATAAAGTACTGAATAAGGCAAAATGGAATAAATTTTTTCGCCTAAGTAATTCTGATATCAGAGTGTAAAAAGTTTATATTGATCGTTGTATCGGTCTTTCAGGAGATATTAAATAGATATCTGGAATTAAAAGTATTTCGGTAAGGAGAGTTTCACTCGAATTATTTTTGATTCTCACTATTGCTGTTCTTAAGTGAGACAGTCGTTTGCAGCTTCATAAAGTGTGGGTTATTATTATTCTAGCGCTGGGTCTGTTTATCATGATTTCGAAGTATTGATTATAAGCATGGAAGTTTGTAGAAGTCATGTGACACGTTACATTGCATTAGAAGTTTTGGTATGAAGCGATCTGAGTGCTATTATAAAATTTCATTTGGAGAATTTTTATTTGTGCTTAGGAGCAAAGTTTTCTCACTTACTATTTCTTTTTCCTTATTTTATAACTTAAATGAAAAGTTATTGCTAACTGATCGGAGGTTAGCAATCATAATCAGGTTGCTTTTGATCGTAGCTACTCTTTCCGTCTCAGTTATTTATTTTATTGTTCAGAAATACTCGTGTCGTTATTGAAAAAATATCTTTTTTACACTATCAGGTCTTTAATTTAATTTTTCAGGATTCTGCAGCTCTGTTGTATTGCTGTACTAGACTATAGGCCTTTGTCGAGTGCATTCTATATTAGTGCTATATTAATAATTGTATTGCTTCACGTTTCAATTTTGCATCCATATTCTATCTGACTGTCAGCTTGCTGCATACTGAATATAACAAAAATTTACTTTTGGTAAGTGTCAATTTATCTGAAGCACTGAAATATTTTTCACATTAGAAAAAAAGTTCCATCTTTTTTTGATAGCCTTTTTTTCGTTGTCATTATTTCACTATTACAACTACTTCCTAATGTAACTTAATGTCTGGTACTCCATCTGAACGTCGTTTTTTGTAGGTATTTTTTCACTGTATTACAAATTTGATCAATCACCAAATCTAGTTGTTAGAGGTTTCATTAACAACCATTTTGTTCTCAACTTTGGCCCTTGCCATGCGACATTCTCAGAGGTTACTTTCTGATTATTTTCGAGTTTTACTGCATAATGCAATATATTTATGTGATAGCGTCTTGGAAATTCGTTATCTACTTATCAGAGTTTTTTTCTCTCGATACATTATTGTATTTATCATACTGTTTTGCTTATCAAATATTTTGAGTAATCCTTTTCTGTGTTCAGATTACCGATCAAGAATTCTGAATGATACCATGTAATTTGATCTTATTTTCCTGAACTTATGTTTTTTGATGATCGAATATAAACTGATAATGATCGAATTCAATAGCTCTCTCCTTATTACTTGTTTAAAACCAATTTTAATTTTCTACTTTAAGGTTCATTAAAAATCTTATTGTCTTTGAGCAACTTTATATAGGCATTCCTGTTCCGCTTTACCATCAGTGGATAATCGTAACACTAGTTATATACGGAGTGCTGGCACTGAGCAAACGGATAGACCTTTGAGAAGTTTGCATTTTTTCATTTTCACACCAAGAGATAATTTCCTTTCAAAATTTTCTGAAGAATTTTAGTTTAAAAGATGATGCAATCACATTTACATCATGTCAAAGTACTTCAAACAAATTATCTACCCTTAATTGAAAATAGAACAAAGTTCTATGTTATTTTCTAGTTTTAACTTTTGACCAGCTTCTGTATTAATTATTTGAATGGACGAGTTTTTGAAGGATGCCGAACAACTTCATTCGGTAAATTGTCACATTTTTTTCAAACTGGTGGTTCAAGTTCGATTAATTCTGCCCTGTCTGATTTATCGATTACTGGGTATGCTAACTATTTTCATTAATAACAAGCATCAACTTCATTTATTATTTGAGAATTAAAATTTAAAATAATTCTAGTTATCCGTTTTCAGCTATAAATAGAATACTCTACTAATATGATGTGTTTCGTTTCTACCATAAAAATTTTATGCTTGTTCGTGTTAATGTCAATAAATGAGTGACAAAAACCTTTTTCGTTGTTATCCATGAATTGGTTATGTAAATGAATGTTGCTGCTATTCATTGAATGAAATCAGTTAAAAGCGATGATAGCATTTAAATATTTACAGCTAAAATTCTGTAAAGAAGCCAAACTTTGTATGCAATGTATATAAAGTGCAATTTATTTACAAACTTTTAATAGAAATATTCGAAATATAGCTTCTGCATATACATTGAAATTATTGAATATTTGTGTGATTGAAGTGCAGAAAAATTGAATTTAGAAAACTGATAGTTAAAATTGCGGAATCCCAACAACGTGGTATAGAATCACTGGCGCAATGGGCACGTAATACTGATAATGCCGCTATTTATGATGTTGTGAAAAACAGTAAACGACTGTATGAGATGCTTACTGTTAAAGAATTGGAATTTGCTCGTCATTATGATCGTTCCTTGAAGGTATAATTAAATTAATTTTATGGATGTTCTTCTGTATTTCTTCAAATAAAGATCACTTTCTTATTTGATGTAGTTATTATAGAAAAATTCGGTGTTTGCAGCTTATGCTAATGAAACAGCAATTTTGAATATTTCATAGAGCAAAAAAGTGAAGTTACTCGAGTGACTTTAGAAGAATTCACCATAAATTTTCACTGATTTTTAAGATATTTCGTATAATATCTGCTGTTCAGAATTAAGTCAGTGCAATATATTTTTGCATTTTCTAGCAGTTGAAAAAGATCACAGATTCGGAACGTGCTGTAGAAAATGCAGAAAAAGATGTAGCAGATTTAGAAGAGAAAGAAAGGAAATTGACTAAAGAAATTGAAAAGGGTATCTCTTTTTTCAAGCAGCGTCGAGGTGGTGATGTTTATTTGTTAAAACAAAAACTTGAAGAGGTGATTATATGTCATTCAGTATTTTAGTATATTTAATCATATTCAAACTTGCTATAAATTATGAATAAATTTTTTTTTCAAGGTAAAAATTGCAAAAGCCCGAGCTGAAAGGTTTCTGTCTGATTTTAGAGCTGAAATGGAAGTAATAAAAATGTACAGATTCCGCGATGGCATGCAGGTATAATTAATTTTTAATTAGAGATTGATTGTGCTAATTGGAATGATTTTTCAAAGTATCGCAATTTTTTTCGAAGTAAAACCCAAAATATTATTATGTAGGTTATCTGTAACAATTGGAAGAGATTCATAGAATTTGCTTGAATAGTATACAAATATTCTGTTGCATATTGCCTTCAGTGACTATCGTTTAATTTATAGGGTATCGCTGATGCTTATCAAAACTTAGCTAAAAGTTGTCAGGCTATTTTCAATTGTCAACGTGAAATTGTCGAAATGGTACCAGCTGTATCCAATCAAGATGTGCGCAGTATGATTTATCGCGGAACTTCATTAACTAGAGATCGTGTTGAAGATTTAAGAAGGTATTTTTTTTAAAACTTCATTCGTTATTTATATACAGTACCTTAGAAATTTAAATTTGTAGATTTTTGGAACATGACATAACAAGATCAGTCAATAACTCATGGTCAAATATTGCGTCACATTCAAATAGACGACGTAGTGAACCTTTACACTTTGTTCATCGGCTTCATCTTGACTCTCCTCCTCCACCATATGCGGATTCTGTGATATCGAGAAAAGAAAATTCATTGCAAGATAGAGAAGTTCCTATTAAACTTATCAGTGAAGTGTATCTCAATTAACAGTTTTTTTTCACAAAATCGTATTCATTCTTAAATTATGCATCTTTTAAATTACTTTTATATTGAATTAGTTATTAAAAAGTTTTGTTGAAAATTTTTCCCAGGAATAAAAAATTATTTTTTGCTTTCTTTCATTCGATATACATAAATTCAATGCGTTATTTGGAATTCATAATCATGATGGACGTTGGAAACTATCCACTTTTTCAAACCAAGAGAATTGGTTTTCAGGTGCGCAATGATAAGCTGAAAACATGCGCTCATTGTGGACAGTCAATACAAACATATGATAATCGTGGTCAGTAACTAAATTTTTTTTGGAATAGTAATTATTGCATATATCTGAAGTATAATTTTTCACGTTCAAAAACTAGCTTTTAATTTGAGTGCAAATTTTATTTTTATTTCGAATTTATTGGCTTGTAGATATGAAAAATAACGTTCTGAAATTATTTTCTAAGATATCTTGTTAGTATACGTGAATCAAAACATATCATGGTGATCAGTTTTCACGACATTTCCCCTTTTTTTTAATTATGTGTTTTAGCTTTAAAATATTCTGGTTATGCTATTCTCATTACTTTTGCTTCATTTCAAACAACTTATGTGAAGAGCAAAAGATTGCATAATTTTCTTACCTTATTTCCTTTGTGTTTTTTGAAATTATTTGGTATTTTATTTTTGTATAAGTGAGTTAGTTCAGGTCTTTCGAATTTTTCACTATTTGTTACTGCCGCATAATTTTGATGTCTTTTCATATTCTTCTATTAGTAATGATTTTTATGGAAGTGTGCTTCGAGAAAACATTTTGTATTTTTATTTTTCTTGTCGCACTGCGATACTGAGAAATATAAACTGGAAAACTCTGATGTTCGATCTATTTCATGCGTATATTATCATGTTTATTTTTGCATATATGTCATCGTAATATCTCCAGTGTTATCCATAATATTTTTATTTTGCAATGACATGTCTTTAACTGATGAGAATAACAGTTACTGAGAGTATTTCAACGAAGTAGAAAAAAACAGTTGTTCATTTTGAAGCGAAAAGAACTTTCATTACTTTTTGTGATAACAAAGTGAAACCAATACGATGTGGTTATTGTCAATCCTGATGTGAACCAATGTTATTTCATTGTATTCAACATGCGTAATAAGGTTTGAGCGCCATGTTGCTTTCGATGAGCTTTTCTTAATTTGATTATTTCTTCAGTATTTATTTTCTACTCATGTCAGCTTCATTTTGCCGTCAATTCATTCTATTTTTTCTAGATTTCTCGTGTTACTTTTCTTGCAGTTCTTTGCACTTGCAAGATCTCTACAAGGAAAATGTGTGTTAAGTGTTTCAGTGCTATGGAAGAAATATTTCGTACTTATACTTTGATTCTTTTGTGTTTTGTACTGTTAGACTAGAATCTCCTTGAATGTATTATAAGTTGTCAAAGTATTTAGTTTTTGGAAGTACTTACTTATTCATTCTCTAAAATTATTGAAAAACCCAGTGTATGTGTTCAGATTTGGAATCGTTTTTCTCGTGCACTGCATTTATTGTTTTTATATTCTCCTCTAAATGTGTTTTCTGCGGAATAAGATATTTTAACTCTGAGAACTGGTTTACATATCAAGCGGTAGTTATTAAAAGTATGGCAGGAGCATTCTGAAGTGCTTCTGTCATTTGCAATTAAATAGTGACAAGAATATTTTGGTGAGTTAGTATGCATGTCTTCCTATTAGATGTCATGCAATATAATTAATTTAGGTATAATCCATTGATAGTAGTAGAAGTCACATTCGATAAATGTTTCTTGTTGCATAACGAAGTGGTAGAAGTGTACATAAATTGCGATGTAGTTGTTAAAATCCATTAACTACGAAATGCTTAACTGGTTTCAAGTATGAAGCTGCTAGTATCTATCATTCAGGTCTCCCAGTTTTTTTAGCTAATTCACAGTAATTGCATCATAAATTAGCTGTAAAAAAAGTTGAGAGAGCCGACATTTTTTAAGCTTCTTGAAATATTTCTGATTTGAAACTTCATGAAGTGCAAAATTATGCATAAGTGAGTAACGTCGAGGTTGGAGGTCACAGTTGAAAGGTTTTTCTTCTTCGCGTGGAGTTAATTTAAGTTTATTTTTAACGAAGGAAATTCGCAAAAGTGATGAAAAGTGATTAATTATACTTGAAAATGAGTATTGGTAAAGAAGTAGAAAAAAGATGAAACATAAGTTAGTCAAACACTGAGAATTGAAGTGAACATTGTCATCTATTCATTCATCCTTCATCATAGCGACAAAATTTAACTTCTATCTCTTCAGTTTGCCAATCAATTCGTTGTTTTTAGAGCAAAAACAGTTATTGAATTACTCAATCTAAATATGGACAGTTTATTGAACAATTTAAATACTTTCCTGTAATTTCACGTGAGGTGCGCAATTTATTAATCTGAATAATCATTTTGGTGACAGAGAATAATACTGACAGCAGTATGCATGTACACGTATACTTATTTTAAGTGGGAAAGAAGTAATTTTTATTGTGTAGGTGCTTAGTGAAGTCTGAATATTAAGATGACTTATACAAATTTGAAATAGCCAACTGTGAGGATGAGGACTTTGTAGATTAAAAATAATTGGCATGGGCATTGGCACTGACACTGGCACTGGCACTGGCACTGGCACTGGCACTGGCGTTTGCCTGCATACTAAACTTGCAGAAGCACTGATGCAAAGACGAGATTCTGCACACTTATTCAGTTTTTTTGCATAACAAAATGCCAGTTCGTATTATTTGTAAAACTGGCAAGAGTTGTAGTGGTAGTGAAGTAAACCAAATAGGATGCATTTTCTTTGCAAAAGTACTTGCTTATATTTCTAGCAGAACATTTATGAGCACTTCAAGCAGGCTTAGGTCTGTGTGGGGTGGAAGGAAGTGTGAAGTGTGGTACGTGTATCTAAGTGTATCTTTCTAGAAAACAATTTGTTTCTTGGCTTAGTTGTTTTTGCACCTTTGACTTTCTGTTTGCTTGTCATTTGATAGAATACCGCGCTTGCTGGCTGATTCTTTTCTAATTTTATGATCTTTAATTTTAATATTTGTAAACATTTTGCTTTGCTTCTAAGCTTATCGGTCGTCTGCAACTGTAAGGCTTACCTTTGCAGATGTTTTGATTGCGTGCAAATTTCTTGCAAAGAAACTTGGGAATCATTTTTAGCAGATAATTTTTAGTAGCCTTCGAAGTCAATGAATAAAGTGCTGAGGATGACAAAATTACTTCGAAAAGTTATACTTTCTGCTACTTTATTGATTATATTCCGAACGAGCAGTAGTAATTGGTAATTTTTTAGCATTGTGTACATATGTATATAATCGTAATTTGTTGCTGAGAACTGATCGATTAATCAAGATCGCAAGTTTTTAATTGATTTAAGTCTATGTCAGAGAAAAATTTTCAAGCATTTTAGACTTAAAGTCTAGTGATATTCCAATTTTTAGAAGTTTCAATTTCTTGTGCGCAATTCTTGATCTCAGGCATGCTTGTCTTGTATTGAAATGATAGTTCACTTGTACTTGAAAGTACTTTTCGCAGTTTCTCAAGCAGCTGTTACGCAGTGAAAGATCGCGGGCATCGTTGCAAGAATGGTATGGAGTCGAGAGTTGCGGTATGCAACATCGAGAATGCCTTCATTACTTTCTCGAAAAATGCAGCTGCAGCAAATCTGAATAATTTCAGAATATGTGCCAACTTATTAACACAAAATTATCAATATTTTTAATCGAATTTTTTTTGTTTAAAGTAAAATTATTAATAAAGTGAGGCAAAACTGTATTCATTGACTTATTATCACAAAATTTTCAACTTTATTTTCAATCGTATTTGCCTTAATCTAAGAGCTTCAGTATTATTTCGATAATGAAACCGATCAATGTCTTCCATTTCTATACGAAGGATGTGGTGGCAATACAAATCGTTTCAGAGATATGGAAAGTTGTCGGATGTCTTGTATTCCACGTAAGTCTGTTCAATTCCGACGACTTTTAGAATTAATAAATTTTATTTTCGTCAGAAATTTGTTTATCAAATTGTATAGAACAATTTTATGCAAATTTTTGCCTCATGCTGTTAAACTTGCAAAGCGACTGTGATGAATCTTTGACAAGAGTTCATATTGAATTTGTTCTGATCTGAACTTATCAGTTAATTTTTAAAATTTAAATTGCGTTTGTTACGAACACAATCTTCATATGCAAAATTTCTTCTTAAACTTTGTCTGAAACAAACATTATGCGAATATTTGCGAGCCATCGTTTGTAATTTTCAAAATGATTTTACTCGTAATTTTTGATTGGGTTGCAAACTAACTTATCATGCATATTTGTTTTACTTTATTATATTTGTAATTGATTATAGAAGATTACGGTTGGTGCGCGATGAAAGAAAAAGCATTTGTGGATAATAATGGCAATACGTTAATTTGTTCCAGAACCAGTGCTGATCCTTGCCCAGAAAAATACATTTGCAAGCATTTAGCTTTCTTTGGAATTTGTTGTCCTCAAAAAACAGAGGGTAAGTATGACTTGCTGACTTGTACTCAGTAAGAAACTATGCCTGAAATTGCAGTCATTTCAGACTGGGTTTATAATTATTATTGTCTTTTAGAGTGTATTTGATAGGGAACGTAACAATGAAAAAGTTCTTTACCTTTGCTAGTTAAGAAAAAGTGATTATTCTTCAAACTATGGTTTGTGTAAGCTGGAAAAATCTTAGGAAATAAATTTCTATTCAAAACGAATTATTAGCCTTTATCGAATTAAATATCAATAGATAACTGGCAGCACAATACTTCAAGTGTTTGGTATTTTTTATTGAACTATTTTCCTGTCACTGTTCAACTTGTTATTACTTATTCTGTAATTCTCATTTTCTCACTGTATGAGTTAACTTTGCAGAAATATACGCTAAAAACTTTTACCCAAAGTGTGCCAGAGGAACGTTGGTAATAACTGATGATGGTAATTTTAACATGACGTTTCTTGGGAAAACTTGCAGTGATAAATTTTGTCCCGAAGGAAGCAGTTGTATTCAGCAGGAAATATTTGCATATTGTTGTCAGTAATTTATCACTGATAATACAAATAGCGGGATAAGATTTATTCGGTTATCCATTTTTTCAGTATAACTGTTTGATGCTTTTTAACTGCTAAGAATTCTCTCTTTCAATTTGAGTAAACTCAAAAAATAAAATAAAATAACTGCATGACTTGTTTTACTTTTAATTACTATTACTTTTATTTTTGCAACTGAATCTCTCTAAAAACAATTTTGGCCTTTTTTCTTCATAAATCTCATCAGCAAACAAAATTTATCACAGTGACAAAGTCATTAGTGAGATCAGTAGTGAAGGTGTTCTCCGCTTTTATAATTTTATTCAGATATTTTTTAAAATAAAAAAATTCCAAGTAAAAATGTTCACGTAATTCCTTTCGTACAATTGTTGCTTGGAATGAATGTGTTTTACGGGTTGTTTCGCTTTGTTATTTGCCTTTAAACTTGACTAAAATTAATAAATTTTCACTTTTGCATTAAAATTTATTTAGAAAGTAATTTTTTCGCAGTAAACAGTTTGAATTTGAAATTGACACTGCTTACCGAAGAAGTTATTATTCCTTCACTAAAAGAATGCAGTATTTTACTTCTTTAGCCAACAAAATATTGTCTCCTCGCAGTTCTTTTTTGAAAGGAGCGGAGAACAGTACAGTTAGTGTACAATTAAGTACTGTATTTGATTTGATTTGATTTGTCTGTCAATCAAAAAAGAGCTTCGATTTAGTCAGTTTTGTTGACAGTAAATAAAATAATTCAATAAAATTGTTGTTCTGTTGGCGTTAGTTAATTTCAAACTGTTTCTGGCAGTCTTCGTGCTCTTTCGTTTCTGACTTGCAGAAGTCGACAAACCTCACAGAGTGTAATTTCAGGAACTTTCTGACTGCAGTGAATTGACTACAAGTAATGATAATCGCCTACAGTTTAGTTTTTGACTGTTGAAAAAGTTTTATTACTAAACTTGCAGACTACTTTTTTCAGGCGTCTGAATTATTAACGATTTTCATGATGCTGCCTCTCAAGTCATACAAAAATAAATTTATGAGAAGGAAGACAGAGAATTACTCCGAGTACCAAATTATGTCAGCAAGAAATAGAAATTGGGTACTGGAATTACGAAGTGATCGCAAACGATCAGTTACTGATTTGAGTGAGCTATTGCAAACTTCAAATAATCCCGGCAAATTGAATATTTTTGGAGTTGTCACTCTTGAAAATATTCTCTTGAAAGTACCATGCAATTATTTTCTCTTACTTATTTGCTTGAAATAATTTAAGATAATTTTATCAATAATTATTAGCAGTTCGTAATTCATTTTATACTGTAAATAGAATGCTAAAACTTTTTGCTACAATTAAACTCAGTGCCTCACATGCATATATGCTTTAGTTTCATAGATATGAGCTGCAATTTATGTCTTGCATTTCGATTTCAATTCAAATTTAGCTCTTATTCCCGCTCGTGCAGCAGCGCATATCCCTTCAGTGACCCTTCGTCAGCTTCATGAATATGAATGCTAATTCTAGCACACAAGTGAGCTTGACAACAAAAATATTGAAAGTATTTTATCGGTCATAAAATCAACAAAAAAAACTTTAATGTAAATTACACTTTGTAAAATATAACATTTAATGTGTTATTTGTGCTTGAGTGATTCTCAGCTTCTGCTTCTAATCATCGGACCTCGCATTATTTCATTCATTCTGCACCATCTTTGTTATTTGGTGTTGTTGTTTCTTCTTCCTCCCAGTCGTACCGTGAATCCATCAATACGTTTTGTTCTTCACGTATCTCAAAAATAAAAGACGTGGTCAAAGCCTTATCAACTTTAGACTGAACTTCAAAATACACTAACTTCATATTTTTACATTTCCAAACTATGTGAACTCTAAGCAAACAAGACACATTTAACTTGTTATAATTTATTTTGAAATAGGTCTGCTAAAAATTATCAATTTTATTTGTATTGAAATCGATAAAGTAAAAATAAAGTTCTCAAAAAATAAACTTTACTTTTATTTTACCTCTTTTTATTCATTACTCCGTTAATGTTTAGATTAATATTCGTCTTTTCCATTTAAATTGGATCTTTTCAGAAGGCTAGTCAGTCTATTCATGTTGAAGTTGTATATTCTTGCTTTCGCAACTTTATCAAGTAAATCTAGATTCTATTTCGTTCCTATTCTGTTCTAGCGATACAAACTAAATTCCTAACATGACTGCGTACGTTAATTTACGACTATGCTAAACTTATTCCATCTGATTTAGCATTATTTCTTTCAAAACTAAAATTTCTAATAATTTTTAATTTAGCTTTATTTAATAATTAAAACGATATCTGTTATTTTCAAGTTTTTTTCAGTTAATATTACTGTTCAATTTACACTTTGAATATAGTAATAACTTCCAAAAATCATTTCCACTTTTTACAGCAATAACCTAAATGGCATGTTGTAGACACTAACCTGATCTAAAAGTTTGTATATATCGCTGTAATTAGGTTGATCTGGATATTCCAAGTGATCAATGAGAGCCAATATAAAATCATATTGCTTAGGACAGTTCAATAAAAATTCTTTTCTGTTTTCATTTCTTGCTTTTATTTTACCTCGATAAGCAATGTTTCGATCTACAAAGTGCCACCCAATATAAAATTATTATCTCCTTAATAAATCTGTCCAATTTAAAAAGCATCATTGGAAGTCCATCAGTAACTCCGAACAGTTGAAAGTTTTAAAAATTAGGTAATGGTACTAAGGAAGTTTACAGCGTCAGTCATTAAAATAGTGATAAGAAAACTGATACTTGAAGTTACGAGGATACAGTTCAAAATACAAATAGGGCATGTGAAAAAATTTGTTCTTCAACTTAAGAAGTGGTTGAATTGCATTTATGTAGAAAGTACATAAATTATATATATATGTATATATACATTGCACTTACTACAATTGCTAGAATACCGTAATGTCAGTGGCATCTGAATAAAAATGAAATAAATCTGGAGAGTGACAAAAAATAAACCAGAAACATGACGCCAAGGTAATACTCCGCAAGTGATTTCAACTAGGCAATAAAACCAAGATTCGAGATCATCTCGCCTTCCTAAATCTAATTTCTGATGCGCCTTAAGAGAACCATATCTCGTTGTTCCTCGCCAACCAATTTCACCTCGAGATCTCTGATGCTTTCCATGCTGTACACAAATCATTCTTTGTCTTCTTTCAGAAAAATTTGCATGCATATATATTTTTGCAGATTATTTTTTGCATTGGTTCCAATAGATTTTGGAAGAAAGCGAAAAGAGAGAAAAACTGCTGCAGTAGATTGCCTAGCTTATGAGATAGGAATGTATTACTGAAATATATATGATAATTCTTGATTTTAGTTAGTTAGTCTAAGTTAGTTAGTCTAAGCGTAACAATTATTTGCTTAGATATTTGCTGTCAGTTAGCTTAAACTAGCAGAGTTATGATAACTTAGGATTGCAAAAGATTGAGTGCAGCATCACAACTTGTTATTTAAATTTAGCTTTTTCAATAGCGTAAAAATAAATGTAAGCAAATAGCAATTTTCTGAAAGTTTAGTAGGAAATGACTTGGAGGATTGAAAAATCAGAAGGAAAAGAATTTGCCTTGTCGAGATATCTTCGCGCCAGTCCAAAGTCAAATAGAAATACTCGTTTGTGCTGTTTATTAATTTCCAAACCAATTGCGTAATTTCCTGGTTTAATATCACGTGAAAGAAATCCACAACTGCAAGGAATAATGCAAATTTGTAATGATAATTACCTATCTGAAATAACTCTTTGATTCTAAACTATTACAAAAAATCATATAAATTTATCAAAAAAGAATAATAAGCAGAGCAATTAAACACGTCAATGTAGTGACCAGAAGGTAAGGTTTCGCATTGGTATTTTTGTGGCATTCACAATCATAACTTATTACGTTAATAAAAGGTCAGTTTCCATTATTATATATTGGCATACTATTTTTCTTTCATTAAATAATTGCAAGCAATATTCAATGAAAGAAAAGGTTCAAGTACTACACTTTGCCAATGCTTTTCATTGACTTCATCTATCAGAAGCAGAACTTAGATTCAAATAAACTAATGAATTGGTAGATGTGAGCTATTCTGAGCAGTCGATGATCTCCAAATAATTTATGAGTAAACTTTGAACAAGTTTTCCACCCATGCAATTCTTCGATGGCTTTACAAGTGTGTATACCAATTCGAACTGCGCAACCAATGCTAAAATGTCGACTGGGTTGTTCGTTACGCAATTTGTATAAGTCTTTGCCTAATAACGTAACTACCATAAAAACAAAGTTTGGTTTCACAGCTCCCTAAAAATTTATTATGTTAAAGTAAGCATAATAATCATTACAGCGATAATAATAATGATGATAATAATAATAATAATAATAATAAATTTTGACGTCAGTAATGCTAATAATTAATATACTATCAGCAGCACTAGCAATGGTGTTCAATTTATAAGCAAAATTTTAAACTACAATAGTTTCTGCTTTGATTAACTTAATCTGTATTGGCACCGATTTCTTACAGATATATACCGACATTACTCTTTTATTGTTGTGTACTTTAATTTCGATGTTTTCAATTAAACTTATACGAATTTAAGATAAGAACAAATAACAAATAAGCTTAGTCCGTCAAATATTAATTTCATTTAATTTTCTAGAAAATTATTTGAATGCCTTAGTTTTAGGCTGTTGTCATTATTAGTGCTATCAATGTTTTTCTGCAAATATTTGATGCTTTATTTTTTGAAAGTTAAGCAAAAAGTTGTAAATTTGTCTTCAAAGTTCAAAGGTTTGATCAAAAGTCACTGTCCATCTTAAATTATTAGCAAAAAAGTGTGCTGAGATATCAGCGACTATTTTGTGGTCACTCGGATTTTTAGCTAGTGAGGCTTATTAACCGACATAATCGTGCAACTCGCATATGTGTTCAGCTCCTTTTTTGAGTGCTGCTTTCAGAACAGTAATTTCAATGTGCAGCATTGAGTTTGAATATTTTTCCGCTTTTAATGCATAACTTCTAAATGTAAAAGCATATTTGAATAACTTTTTTACAAGCTTTTTGGTACAAAACTCTTCTTTGCTTGATTTTCACTGTTTAATGAATTATTAATACTTTTATATATTCAAATGAATTGGTGCAAACTCGTTAATGCATACATCACAGCACAGTGCTACTTCTGAAAACTCGCGGGCAGAGCTGTCTGCCAAGCACTTTCATTCTTGGCATTCGAAAAGAGTGAATGGGATCGAAAACGAATAAAATATATTCACAAAAGCAATCCGTCAATAACTTTACTTCGATGACGAAGATTCTCCCAACTGGGATTAAGTAAAAATGTATTAATTCATAAATATCTACTTGAATGAAATTAAACCTTACTTTCCGTTCTGTATCGCTTGAAAAACTTTACCATATCCACCCTCACCTAATATGGCAGTTAGATGATAAGTGCGACTTGAAGATTTGACTACGTCATCAATTTCAGGTAGACGATTACGATCTTGATCAGACGGAATTACACTTGAAATCGAATTACTGCCATCGAATTCTACCATCATTTACTTACTTACTCTCACTATTATTTATTATTTCTGGTTGATCCTTTGACAACTGATTTCAATCTACTGATGGTTAAATATTAAACTTGTTGAGCAGTGCACCGATGCACAATCAATAACGTATCAAAATGTCAGAGCGATTAAAATTCGGTCATCTTAAATACGATTTGAATTTCCGATTCATATTCAATTTGTATATGCTAAATTTTTAACAGCAAAAAGAAGAAATCTTTCATCTTTGTTCAGTACTCAGCAATTTTCCACTGGGAGCTTAATTTCATCAACTCAAATAATCTGTTTCAGTTCAAATTCTGATTTCAGCTCTGATTTGTTTCGAATGCTTAAATTTTTTGCAAGAGCATCGCGACTTAATTTTATGACTGTATTATCTGTCTTACTTTTCCTTCGGTATATTTTTGGAGGTGTGCGAGCAGTTCTCAGTGCTGCTCGACTTTTATCGGCAATCGTTATCAGTTGTATCAGAGAACACTTGGCAATATTTGAGAATAAAAGGCAGTCTTTCTATAAAAATTGTCAACCTTCATTCGAACATTTCTCAAAAAATATGCTTCCAAACGGACAGAAAAGTAATTAACAGCAGCAATTCCAACTAATTATTGGTGGATCATAGTCAACAAGAATGATTAATCGTTGTGATACATAAAATTTTCACAACGTCTCGTCGCTGTGATTGATATTTTCAACTACTGCTAGTGACTATGTGGTGATTTGATTCATGCACAAATGTATGCTTTATTTAAGCAGTGAAGGGACTCTAAGAAGGAAGTCACCTAACTGAGTAAAGACAAAGTTAGTCGAAAATAGCTTAAAAAATCTATAACAAGTTCCACTGCTATAGAAAGAGCTTTTATACTATCGTAGATTCCAAATTTTTTTCGGAGTGGTCAGTCATGCATGGCGATTTACACTCAGATTTAGATCATTCTGATAATGATAATGCATATTCTGAACACTGTTATTATTGTAATCTTGTGTTTATATGTCTAATGTACAAAAAGACTGGCATTTTTGGTTCAAAGTTATTAGCTAAATCGCTTTCGAACTGAAACATTTCGCACCATATAAGTTATCGCATTTGATGTATTGCTGACAGAAGTTCAAAATTTGAAAATTGCTGTCATTCGCAACTGTGCAGAGCAGAACTTAAATCCTCTTAGTAGTTAGCTCGGACTAGATTTACTGTTTGATTCAGATTTTAGGACTAAATGAATGCCTGGTGTAAAGGAAATCGGCTCGTGGATACGTGACCGATTTACTTTTTATGATTTTATTATTTTTATATTGCAAATATTTTCTGCTACTCTCATTGGAATTATCTGGCCCTTCATTCTCAGGTTGGTAACCGGTTTGAGTAAATTTATGGATCAAATGAAAGTAGCAAATACTATGTGTCTTTCTGGGTTCTGGGCGATAAGGAAGTGAGAATCAGTATGAACAAGTAAACAACATTTACCATGTTGTAACAATCAGTATCTAGAAAATTAGTCTACAAATATGATTTTCTGATTTCTTTGTTTGTTTTAGATCTCTTCTATTACCCTCTGTGGTAGAATATTCAGCACCTCTGTACTTTAATTTCGAGACATGTCGTGAACAGCTCGCAGGTGTTTGTTCCTTTCCAACAGCAAATATTGATTTTTCAATAGTTTGTTTTCGTTTCATTTCAGAATGGAGTTACGTTTTAGATATTGTAATTGTTCATTTTACTATCCTTAACACGTTTTAGATATTGTAATTGTTCATTTTACTATCCTGTGACACATGGTCTTTTTTTCCATAATTTTACAGGAAAGCCCTTCGTGGTCTTTAAAAGACTATTATGAAGTTAGTGTTGAAGCTATTTTGTCACAGTCAACCATTACTTCAAACATTGGCATATTTCAAATTTCGGTCGTTCTAGTGGATGAAGTGAATGTCACAAAAATCTTTCGGCGGTCTTGTTATGCAAGCAAGAATCGTAGTTTACTGTCTCGAATTGGTCATTTCTGGTGGGATTTGGTTAGTTATTTTTCAATAATATCAAAGAACTAACTTTTTGTTGGAAAAGATTTATCGCGATAAATTTTCTTTCTTTAACTAAATTTGGTAGCTACTACTCCTTGTAATTTTTTTTCTCAAAGTGATTCCTTTGAAATATCAGTTTCTATTATTTGTTAAAATTCTATAATCTAATCATTTTAGAAATATTCAGAGTTCGAATCCTTCATTTGAATGTTTTTTTTAGTCGTGCAAAACAATATTTTTTCCGGCATATTTCATTGGTTTCCTCACAGTAACTGATGACCGTAAGATAAAAGTGTCCTTCCCTAATTATTTGCGTGGTATGGATTTAGCTAAGATGAAAGAACTTTATGTGCAGCTTCAAAACCGGTTCATTGAAGTATGTTTTTCACTGCATTACATTGTGAAAGAAATTGGGAAACATTTTTCAGAAGGAAATATTTCAGGTAGAGTCGGGAACATTGCTGTTTAGGGCTCGTTTTGGATTATTACGTGTTTTTCTCTATGATTATCCGATATTTTCATACTGCTTGTTTGCCTGTCTTACATATTTTGGGTGCCTAATGGGAATTGCCTTTTATTGGATGCTGAAAGCTTTTTTTGGTTCCATTCGATTGTGAAACGTGAACCAAAAAGACAGTTATCATTGAAAATGAAAGCTAGTTTCTGAGATTTCTTGCATTTATGGATGTTAATTACAGTCAGCTTAAAAGTCACACAGGTTGTTAGAAAATTCGTTTAATCTAAAAAAAGTGACCTAAAAATTTATTTGCTGATTTCTAATTCCAGTTTTTTTTTTTGTCGTTTTGTCGTCAGTTAAACCAAAAAAAAGAGTGGAGAGTTACTTGGATTTCAAACTCCTCTGTATTTACATGAAAGGAGACATCAGAAACGGGATGCAATGAAACTCTTATTTTTCAAAATGTATTAGAGCTACAAATTCTATGATAAACCTTCAGAAGTTTCCTCATATGGCGGCACAGAAAATTTCATAGTGATTAATAAATATTATTCCGCTTCTTAAAACCTGAAGTAGAAAGAATACTGCAGAATACCGATAATATTCTTTTTCCTTCAAGTGACATTTGAACTCTGTTATGCTTTTATTCACTATAAATTTGTAATTTTGTTAAAATTAGGCGGAAGAAGTACAGTTTAGTGATTGACAATTTAGAATCAGCGTCTTATGCGTCTGGTACTTTTAGTTTATTTTTGTCGTTATGTCATGGTTTTTTAGCAGCAGTGTGGTATAGTAAATTTTATTTAATAGGGTGAAATTATGTAATTGTCGACCAAATTCACGGTAGATTTGCTCTTGTTCTAGAGTAATGGGGATACTGGTAGTGCTGTTATATGGGATGAACCATTTTCAAAATGACTCCTCTTAAAAGCATTGATGGGAGTAGCATGCGTAAAATTTGCAGGGCTTGTTTGCTGGAGTGATGATTCGGCAGAACCGTACTTTGTGGTTGTAATTATTTTCCTAAAATAAGTTAGGAAATCACAGTTCACATATTGAAATTTCTCAATTGTGATTCGGCAGATTTTAATTAAAGTTATGGTGACCCAGGCGAAATTTTTATAATAATTTAAGAGATTGCAGCAGTAATGACTCTGGTTTCAGCTATGTCATAAAATGGTAGATGATGGCACGGGGATACCACGACTAACTACTGCAAGTAATTGTCCGGGCTTTTGTGGTCGTCAGGCAACTACATGGTCATCTGGAAATATCACTTATTCCGATTGCCAAGTATGCTAAAGTTCTTATCAAATCATGTAATTTGGGGAGATTGTCGTCTATAATTTTCTACATTACATTTTCATTCAAATTAGTGTTGATTTTTAGTTATAAGGCATACAGAGAGTATTAACTCAATGATATTGACTCTCATTATTATAAATTATTGTTAAGATTTTTTATATGATCCTAAAGTTAGTTGTGGCTAGATTGACGATAAATGTCTATCAACTTGCTTTTATCAATCAGTATGTTCCTTAAAAAGCTCTGGTTAAGGGGCAATAAAATGCTCATTTTTAGGATTAAATTTGTAGTAAAAAATTTACAGGCATGTAGTTGGGGTTATCGAAGCGTGGATAAATTTTTGTGTAGTTCATGTAATGATCTCTTACCGTTATATGATTGGCTTTATCTTCTTTTCGTCGCTATTATTCCCTTACTATTGAATTCATTTTTTGTGCAAGTGTACGCTACACCAAAAAGGTCAGCAAGGTTTTTTTAGACTTAACGTAATATTTTATCATCTTATGCAGAATTGCATTCCATAATGTACTTAACGAATGGTGTGGAAGCCATCAAATTATTTATTAACGATTGTTGTATAAATTTCTAAAAAGTCAAATCTTTTTTAAAATGTTAGTTATGTAGGTTGTAAATTAAAGTAAAAAGACCATGTCATTTATATTAATGGAATCTGAAAGTATTAATTGCAAAATGAGCAATGTTCTTTTCTTCGGATTTAATTCTTGTAATTTCTTGCATTGATGGAATTTTTCAAATGTGGGCCATTGTACTTCGAGTACATTAACAAACAATTTTGACTGAGATAACTATTAATGACTCTACGTTGTAGTACCACAGCTAAAAATAAAGTAAGCTAGTTAAAATATTCATGGTTTGAAGTAGGGAATTGAAGTGTATTGGTGACCAATCAAATATTGCTTCCAGTTTTTGAGTCATCAGCAGTTATGCTTAAATTATCCAGACTAAATCAAGTGTTTTAGCTTTTAACTTTATCTTTAATGTGGAATTGGAGTGCGACGTAGCTCTTTATGTTTTCAAAGGTTTTCTAAGTCAAAAGAACAAAAAAAGGTCTGTAAAATGGTTTTATAAAAACTTTTTTTTTATTTAGTGTGCGGCAGCACCTTTTCTTACAACATTTATGTTGCTTATTGGAGTGTGGTACATCTGCCTTGTTTTCTGTTCTCTTGATGCCACCTCGTGGTTCACCACTTCTTTATGGTTGTGCGAAAAGTTCATTACGAGAATGGTATCCAATGTTTTATAATCCTATCATTAATCACACTCATACCTTGCGATGTACACAGGAAATAGTCTTTCCACTGTGAGTTTATATGACAGTTTTCATGCGAAGTACTACGCTGTCAAGTAAACGTATTATTAAATCGGTTATTCTAAATCTTATTGCGCATTAAGAAGTAATAACCGGATTCATTCACTACTTGTTTCTCACATTATTCAGGATTATGTTGAAATAAACTTGATGCAGTCATTCGGTTACGTAACTGTTAAGTTTTAATTGTAAAAGAAAAAATAAAAAAACAGCTAGCTCGTAATAAGAAAAAAGTTTCACAGTGTGATTGAATCGTCTAAATGAGAACTAAAGCAATTTCAGATATTCCTTGCCTTTCGTCTATTTGGCGTTCTGTTTAATATGCTTGATCATCTTTCGTTCAACCCTCTACTTAGCAGTATTCAAGCACCACTCCGTGGGTACAGGCCCTTATTATGCCACTCTTTTTGCCATTCCGTTAATTGCACTTTTTCATGCACTCATTGTAAGCTTTTTATTGGCTATAACTTTTTACATTGATTACAGCATTTAACTCTTTATGAAGCCATTACATTAAGACAAAATCATTAAAAGTTTGGAACATACAAGGTTGCCTTCAACCATATTTTTAACTTTTTTAAAGCTAAAATATTTTAATCGCTATTTACAATATCAAATCCTGATATGTCCCTGAAACTCAAAAGATGTAGTGTTCAAATTCTGTATTTTAGCAGATAAATCTTTACAGGCAGGTTTACTTTACTATAGCTTTGGCTATGTAACACTGGTCTGCAGCTTGGGTTTAAATACACTTCATATGGCACTTGAACGAGAGAAATCAATGCGTAAATTATGTTTTGAGATGATTCATAAACCACGAAACTTGTTCATTTTAATAATTCATATGGCGCTTTTCGGTTTTTCCATTTTCACGTTGACAATCAGCCGTACAAATAGCAACGGATCATTTATATCGTTATGTGGGATGTTACTTGTGCCATTACCTTCGTTCTTATACCTTGTTACTGTCGGAATCACCGATCCAGAACATGTCCATAATGCCTCGTAGTATTTTTTCACTGCCAAGCATTACTTTTTGATCTGGTATAAGAGACAATAATTCCTTGTCAGTTTTTATATATTTATTTAGTACTTGACTTTGTAAAGATGTAAACGTAACGGGTCTTGTAAAAATTTCCATAATTCTTGAGTTTCTGAACAGATTTTATTTTATTATTTCATAGAATAGAGCAAAGAAATACTCACTGCCGAAATTTCAGTCCTACCTGACATGTCGGTTTTTCGTCAAGTGTAGCTATCGTGATTGTGTTCAATGTCCATAAATGTAAAAACCTCAATGAATTTTTTAAATTGATTTCATTCCAATCAAAGTAAATAATGGTTAACATTGCATTATTTGGATGATGTTTTTCTTGCTGCTGTTGGAATCGCCGAACCGCAGCGTGTTCATGCTGCTTCCAGTACTTCCTTTCATTCATTGTTGTGGCCTGGTATTTTACAGTTTAATAAGAATAACAGGTAAATATATTTGTTGCTATTGTTTATTGAGCTGTTTTTACGTATTCATAGAGAGACGAAGTCAAGGTCTTAACTATTAACTAATGGTAGAAAGGAAAGCGAAATTGACTCTTCTAATTTTTTTTCTCGGTCTGCTCCATAATTTGAGCTTGCGAAATGATTCTAGACTGATAGCTGCTTTGATGTCATTTCTGTGTGATCTATTTACTTTTAAAGTAATTATGATGGTAGCTCTGTTTTTACCGTACATTGTATTTGTAACCAGTGTTTTTTCATTTGAGCACAAAATTCCTAATATTTAAAAAAACTGTAAGTTATTACTAAAATGTGCGAGAAGTTTATTTTGTTGAAAGTTGATGTCGATATTTTGGAACGAAAAATAAATTATTGGTAATCCTTCTCTTGGGAGTTTTCAAGCTTCCGCTTAGTTCTAGAAAGTGCTTCCGAAGACTAGAATGATGGAATTCGAGTTATGCATTGTAGATTGATGTCATGAAGACAAAAACATCCTGATGTTCTTTGGTCTTTCACCTATGCATTAGTATACAAGTATGAGGCTTTGAAAGTAACAATTAATTATTATTAAATCGCTTTATCAGTTTAGCGGAATCTGCGTTCGACGTATGAAATTGCCAAGGGCTGGTTTGTTTACGTTGATTTTGCTAACAAGGTTCACAGATGGTTCGGTTGGTGATGGACATCAAGTGTATTTGAAGTGCGTAGGAACTTGCATTGTAAGATATGACTGTCCTCGAGAACCGGATGCTTTTGGCTGGATCTTTGGTGAGTGCTTCAGGTAAGTCACTGACATTTGTATTCATTTGGCATGTATTCTGTTCGGTTTTATGAGTCGGAGTGAAGATGTAAAATATACATATGAAGTTTGGGCGAGTGCATTTGCAGGTGCCGTCACACTTGTATATGGAGAACTGCCAATTATTTTACTGATGTTTTACATCTCTCCATACCACAATTTTATGGCAAATGGCCTTTTACAGCTATATGGCTGCCAATTATCGTACCAGTCCCAATTCATGTTAGTTTACTATTTTCTGTATCCGAACATTCTGTCGTATTTACTTTTTTTCCTGGTTTTTTGAGTTTGTTCTAATTTAAATTAAATAGTTGATTGTGGATTAAATTTTATGTTTAGGAATTTGGCTCCGTTGTGTTTTCTATACTAAATTTACTTACAACTTATTCATTATACCGAACAGTTAGACGTCTTCACCGGTTAGCTCGTTTAAAATTAGTGTGGACTGCATATTCGATAATTGGAATCATGATGTGGTAAATAGATGATTTTTGTGTTTATTGAAAGCCGGGTGAAGATGATTTAAAGTTTCACCGGGCATTCGATTTTTATGAAAACGGCTTCAATGTACGATTTTTTTTTGAAAATCAGGATAAAAGTATTAAACTGTTTGAGCTAGTTATCTTTTAATTCATTGCCTAGACTTAAGACGTGGTTCAGCTGGTAAATTTCTCAAAGACAGATTAAATCAAAAAATATTCCTTAAAAATTACAAAGCAATGTCGAAAAAGTTTTTCAGGTCATGTTCAACTGTTTTTCATTGGGCAGATTTCTGGTTAACCGAATATTTAGATTATTTCACAGCTTGCGCATTCATCGTATTTGCCCTTTTTACTAGCATTTCTTTCACTATTAAAAAACTTCAGAATAGTTTTAAAGGAAAAATCATGTAAGTATTTGATCATTCATCAGTTTTTCCGTACTCATCAGTTATGCAGCAAAGCACTATACAGTAAAATAGCATGATATATCCAAAAGTCGGAAAATATTTGCAAGCTTTCAAAGTTTAAATCATTTCTTTTGCAGATGGCTGCTGTTGTTTGTAATCTTGTTTTATCTTTATGCAGCACATATATATAGCCTTACAGTAAGTGTTTACATTTCTGCAAGATGTTTTTATTTAGGATACATATTTAAAATTGCACGTAAGTGCCTTTTTTTTTCGAAGTGATTAAAGATTTCTGAACAAATCGGAAATAAATTATGATTGTGATTATAATCGTTGCAGGTTTTTTTCGACTACGGTTATAATATGAAAGTTTGCATTGCATGCTCTTTGCTCACGGCAAGTATTTACTATATGTGGCTGTTTCAACAGTGGTTGCAAAGAGACCATTCTAACAGACAATCCTTACTATATTTAGGAATGGTAATTACATGGGGCTTATTATCAGTTTCATTTGAAGTGTGTGTTTTTTAAGTCTCTTTTCATTTTCTTATGCCATGCGAAATTCGAAAATTTTAAGGCACAGAATGTGAAAACTCAAAAATCTTTTTGCTAAATATTTTTTAAGTTTCCAATAAATTTACTACTTTTTTATTTACGCTAATTTCCAAGTACATCATATAAGAGTTCATAAATTAATGTGTTGTAGATTAGTCACACGCTGGCTATTGCAGGTAAGTTGTCTTTATCGAAAATATTTCAGGGTTTGCAAAATGCCTTGAATTCAGTGCACTTTACCCTTTTGCTGTGCAGACAGATTGTGTTCATTTTAAGTGACAAAAATTGAGTTCGTAGACTAATTTCAGTTGCTGGATTTTATGCCGATATTTGGATTATTTGATGCGCACTCGTTATTTCATCTTGCCACTGTACCATTGCCATTACTGATGGCTCGTTTTATTGTACTCGAGAGTGCATATGAAATGCGCCGGCAGTTAGGAAGCATCAAATTGGCTTGATTTTTATCTCAACTGACTTTCCTAAAGTGATAAAAAGTTTTTCGGTCATTTGTTAATATTGTATTCTGGATCTAGAAAATAAACATGAGTGATGTTCAGAGTTATAATACAAGATTAATCATATCAAGTAAAATTTATCGTCTGGAAATGTACGAAGAAGGTTTAATAATTTAATATCAACGTCCGATGGTATGTTCGTTACTTGGTGATATGTATGTGAGTGAGAGTCAGTCGGTCCTCTTAAAGCTCATGAGGATGTTGAGTTGCATTATGCCCTTTGAGCGGGAAACCTAAATTAAATTAATGAATGTTGGCTAAAAAGGTTTGGAATTAAACAGCAGATGTGAAGAAGACAGCTAGTGCATGAAGGGACTTCACGTAAACCTCGGTGAAGTGTGGTGGATGTAAAGATCAGCATTTGAATTAGATAGATGCTATGCATCACTATTATTACCTACTCTGTCAATCGAGAAGGATCTTTTTATGTGAAAATTTAGGATCGATACTTTTTGTAGCTTGAGGGCTTCATATCTGCTAAACATACCACATGTGTTAGTCACATTAGGAATAACTTCATTATTTCGCAGAGTGGAAGGTTAATAGTCTTGAATATTACAGAGGGAAGGTCAGAAGAAATGTATCGAAGGAAGAAGGGTCAAAGTTCGTCAGTGAGTTTGGATGAATCGAGGGGATCAGTTCCTGAAACACCACCTCATGAGAATTGTGGGTATTTTTTACTGTGCGATGTTCATGTTTGAAGTTAAACAAGTTTCTAATAGTGTTGTTAGAAACTTTTTAATTACTTCTGTATTTTATTACTTGAGTTAGATTTTAGTATTGTACTGTGCTGTTGATAGGAAGCCGAATTGTAATCACAGTACTGAAAATAATTACATAGAATAAAATTTGCTAAAATGATAACCTTCACATGACTACACTGCTTGTTAAATATACTTGTACTATTACAGCTGCGTCCGACAACTAATACATTGATGTATTTCAGGAAGCAATTATTAATAAAAAGTGTAGTAAAAACTGTGCAGTTGATTTAATATGAAATGTAAAATTTAAAATAATTTTTGAAAGGCCTCTTACTGTAATAAAAAACAAGGTAGAAAATTTTTGCATTGAAGGAAAGGCTTTTATTGTGACTTTTAATTGTTAACATGAGTAAACTCCTTACTGAGAATTCATTTTTTGAAGAGGGCAGTTCGAAAGATGTTTGAGATAGAAAAATTGAATCCTAAAAATTTATGCTAGGATATCATAGGAATTGAGAAGACATCAACATCTGCTAAAATTGAGAAGATATTAACATGAGTACATTAATGAGGAACAGCAAGTCTTTTAAAGCTTCTATTTAGTGGACTAAATCTTTGATAATTCGATGATTTGACGGAAAACCTACGTCAATCACTTGTTTGCAATTATTCTGAGAGAATCTTGCGAGATTAGAAGTGGAAAAGTTTGACTGTAATCAGTAATTGTTTTTTTGCTATAGTTGAGAATTATAATTCAGCACAGTATCGAACGTCTTCAAAAAAAATGGATTCTTCTGAAGATGACTCATTATTGATTGATGAAGAAGAATTCCGTCAAGCACTTGATCGTTGCTACACTCAGACTCAAAATACTAACGTATGTAAATTACATATGCGGAAATTGCCTCCAAGGAGTGAGTTTGAGGAGTTGTTGGAAAGAATGGGAGTAGAAGTGCGCTTAGATGACAATGACGAGCTGTCAATTTATTTAAGTATAATTTCATTTCCGTTCTTGTCTTGGAATTTGTTTGAGGAAGTCGTGCAATTCAATGCTTTAAAAAAAATAGCACAAGTATTTTCAGTACTTGCTTCCTTCCCAGTTCACTTGAGTTATTTTCAATATTGAAATTAGATTTCTATATTTTCTCTCATACAATTTTTATGGAGTTTTTACAGAACATTGTATTGAAGTAATATTCTTATAGTCGTTTTTTCTAAACTGAATAATGTTATTTTCGATAAAAAATTCTTTCATTGCAGAAATCAGTTTCCATGATTTAATGAAAAAATTGAATTCATATTGCGAAGATCATGATGTAAGGAAATTGCGGTATCTTTACAACTTTTTCTATATATTTAAAAATTTGTGAAACTATTAAAAACGAATGTTGCATAAGCTAAATCTTTAAAAGTCATACAGTGCAAAAATTTTTGAATGTTCATATTTAGCTCAAATATTGCAGAAAAGAACAAAATTTTTTGACTTATTCGAAGGAGAAGTTGCTGAAGATTTTAAATTAAAAATGTATTTATCTCCCTGTGCAACTGAATCCGGTTATGTGGTTGGTATTTTATTTGAAAATGATTTCTATTAATGCCGAATAAGATATTATTCGTTAAAATATTGGTATGAGGAACTCATTCTAAATAGTTTTTCTTCATTGCTACATGTTGCATAGGTTTTCATTCGAATTAATTTTTTCACTTTGAAATATTTGTTTCTATTTTCGTTATTTAATTTCCTGATTGAATTGAAGTAAAAATGAAGCATTTTGAAGTGTTTGCAGGATACATTTGTTCGAGCTTTGTTAGTATCGAAAGCAACGCAAGCTGTATCTTTCGAAACAGTAATAAGGAGAATTGAAACATATGCAAAATGGTGATATCAGAAAATTTAGACATAAATAAGGCTATCATATTTTTATATTGCTTTCTTGTTTGAACATGATGGCAAAGTGCTTTTAAACTTATTTTTTGCCAAAATTATTCTTTCATGCTAATTTAAGGCATCAGAAATTTTAGTAATGTCGGTGATGGAGGCAAAAATGACCATTTTGCACTTGCTTGTATTGCACAATTTCGTTATTTGGATATAATTTACGATTGCAAGCGTGTTTTCAACTCAGTATTTGATTGTGATCTTGAAAATTGGCGCCCCACTCCACGTGATGCTTTGATACAAGCTTTACCGGAAATCCTTCCTAGCCCTGCTGTTCAGCAAGGTCATTTTTATAGCATTCCGTTGTGTTGTAATTTTTTAAATCATTTTCCAGACTACAAAATAATTTCATGTCTAAAAATTATGAGCACGTAAAACACTGCAAGCTATAGCTTTCGAAACAGTAATAAGGAGAATTGAAGCAGCATTTAGAGGCAGCATGTTTTCAGCAGTTACTAATACAGTTCTTTAAGTAGATCATAATCTTTGCAAATGAAGCAAAAATAAAGTAAAGTGAAACATGATGGAATTTCAAAAATTAGAAATCTTGTTATAGTTTTCGTACTCGTTTTCAGATACTGCTAACAACTTGTTGGAAATGTTTCAGAGGAAAGTTACTCAGAATTCAGTCACATATCGAATTGCTATTTTGCAGACGCTACTTTTATTTCGCATTGATGAGTATAAAACTATCAGTGTAATTATTTTCAAACATTTTTGCATTCTTTGATAAGATTAATTATGATTGTTACTATAAATTAATTAATTTGATGGCTGATATTGTGGTAAATAGATTTTATAATGAAAAATTTGTTGGACATTAAAAAATTCTTTAATGTCTAACAAATTTTCGATATTTAGATGCGTGGCACCATGTTACAAAATGTAATGGAACTGGAACTGGAAGTTTTACCAGAATTAGTATCGTATTGTATGAATAGTATTCAAAGAAACGAGAAGTTCGCTTTTCGAAACATCATTTGTAGCCTTCGAACTCACTTGCAGTTAGAGGATTTACAAAAATCAGTTACAAATTCAAGGTATTTCATCATTTATTTTTGTCAAAAAATCTTTTAAACGATCAAAAAAATTTCGTTCTCATTTTAATTTTCAAATTAATGATATATCATTTATTTATAAGCAATGTAAACAATTCTTGCATCCACTTGATAATTAATATTATTTGTTTTCTATTAGTAACCTTTTTAGCTTTTATTTGTATTTGTCTAAAAAATTTTTCCAGCAAGAAAACTATTGGCAAAGTAATAACGGAAACTTTTGAAATTATATTGAAGAAAGTGAAAACTGGTGATGGTCGTTACTTGAAGGATGCACTAAACGTGCTTATTACCGAAGGTCAACAACACACTGAAGGGGAAAATGAGCAAAATAATGTGGTGCCACTCATGGGAGATTGTGTTCCAGCTACCAAGAAGGTTGGAATTTTTTTTGAGAAATTTTTATTCAGTTATCACCTGAAATATTGAGTGAAAACTGTTATATGTTTTGTGGGAACATTTTTTGATGTTGGAGATGAATACATATCAACACTGTTTCTAGGAATTCGTCCTTTTTGATATCTTATTGTCTTTTACTTTAATGGACGTTAATAACTGGAGCCGTACAATTCATGGTATTTTCAAGCAACAAATATCACTTAGTCATCATTGTTATCTGGAGCGATTGATTTCATCAGTTTTCAACTTCACTGAAGTACATTAAATTTTCTTAAGAGTGCAGTTATTCAGAGAATTTGTTTCTTTCTATAATGATAAATGAAAGTATATCTGTCAAAATTTTGCAAACGATGGTAAGCACTTTTCATAAACATATTGTTTAACTTGTTGTTACATACCACTTTTTTTAAATAAATTTTCTGCATCCATATAACATTTGTTTACAGTATACTACACGTTTTTTCCAACCGATTCGAGATTTCTGTGAAACTTTGATGTGGTCGTTTTTTCCCTCTTATGTTAAATTTGGAGCCTATATTTATAAGACTCTATTTCTTAAACTCCCTTCTCAGCAATCAGTGGTACGTCGTCATCTGTAAATGTTATTATGTTTTTCATACCTTTTCAAACATTAAAAATTATTTTACTTTCAGATTTTTGACAGCATTCTTCATCATATGAATGGAACAGAGCAAGAAACTACAGAAATTCTATTAATATTACAGGATATTTCAGAAAATCATAACGATACACTAGCTGCTTATTCCCATATTCTTAAAGTAAAAGTTCAACACTTTCACATCAAGTGAACAGAATAAATTTAGAAAGCTTACGATTATAACCTGAGATTCTACGCAAATAGTAATTTTTTGCCAATAGTTTTAGTTTTAAGTAAAATCAGCACAAATTAGTTGAAAAAAGTTTTCTTCACGTACTATATTAGTGGTTTTTAATAATTTTCTTCAGCAAAAATTGTCATGCTTGATCAACTTCTCTTTCGATAATGTTTGTCGGTTTTTTACGATATTGCTTTCGGTAGAACGAATCAGCGAGCAGTCTCAAGTTACAGAAAGAGTAATAAGAATGGCTTTACTGCCAACAAATTTTGATTTTTTTGCTTCTAAAATAGAGAAGATTTTTTATTAATCACATTTTGAAATCGCCAATACGTCAATGTGGGCACTATTTGTATCATCAGCAGATTTAATAGTTTTATCCTGAATGAGCTTCTTTAATTTTATCGAATTTTTGTTTAAAGTTATAAAATATGAGACTCCGTTTCTAAATTTTTAGGGAAATTGTATGAATATTTTTATAGCACAAGGGATTGAATTTGGAAATTGAACGTATGATTTCATCGTCATCAACTAGAGAAAAAGTTTGGGGGATTCTTGGAGTTTTGATGCAGATTCAACAGTATCTCATGAATAAGAGGTTGTTTTTTTTCAACTAGTTTTGTAGTAACTTAAACACTATGAAGTATGGAATCAACAATATTCAAAGAATACTTTTTTCTTATTATGTTGAAATATCTTGTTTTCAAATGTAAACATCAACTAGTGTTCGACTCCATATTTCTAGCTTTCTTCATTTGTTAGCATTTCAAGGCAAAATGTGTTTTTTTTAGATTAAGCATAAAGGGCCGTGAAGATATGATCAAACAAAAATTAACATTATTGGATGAGCGTACAAAATCTAGTGTTTACTTACGCACTTTCTTTTACGAACATTTTGCAAGAATCCTAAATGACAGCAAAGGAATTGAATGCAACTCAGTTTTAGTGAGCGGTTTTTAATATAGTAATGAATAATAATCCTAATTATATAAAGGTATTCAACTTTCTCAGTGAATTGCATTTTAATGCTGTAAAAACACATCTATATTAAAAAATAGTGGGATATGGAGTTTCCATGTGGGAACTTTATCTCTTTTTTTGCAATTAGTTAGTCTTTTCACATAAAAATTTAAAATTATGTGATCAATTATATATTTCTGCATATATCACTCGCGAAGATTATGAAAGTAAAATTATCAAATTATCTCTTGTTACTCACTGCAGACTGTTTGGGCTGATAGGCTCAGTCTAGAATTCCGACAAAATTTCATGAAGCAGTTCGAGCGAAGTCCTCCGTCTTGGTTACAATTTTGTCGAATTTCACTCAATATAGTCTTCCATATTTATTTTAAATTATGCTTAAACTTTCATGTACTCAGAGTACTTCATAAAAATATGATTAAAAGCTATTCCTTGTTGGAACATTATGCTTCCAGAGCAAAGATCTTCAATTTTACATTAATTTCACTGAAAAAATCAATTCAATCAAGTTTCGCTTATAAAACATTTAATTTTGGTTCTTTCAGTCGATTAGAAGACGAGCGTTATTGTAATTCACTGCACAAAGAATGGTTTTGTTTAAGTGAGTTAGTGGAAAAGTCTGCAAAGATAAAATCGGTACTGGACAATCGAGTTTTTATCCCGATAGCGCATTTTCAACTTCTCTTAGCACTTACTAAATTGAAATATTCATGGACTGAAACGCAGCATATCAGCAGTTTTCATGAAGAACTTTATTTTGTATTGGGTAACTGTATTTAATTTAATACACAGTTCGAATATTTTCAAGATTCTAAATAATATGTACGTATGTAAGTTTGATTTCTTGGGTTCTTATAGTTTTAAAGTGTAATGAGGAAAGTTTAAATCTATAAAAATATAATGTTACAGAGGCAAATATTTCAATGATTGCAGTTAATCTTGAAACTCAAGACAAGCAGTGTATGATAATGAACTGCAATATATACTTTTTCTGCATTCAGTGGATTCGTTTGGTTACTTTTTTTAAGCTTTGGTGTAAATTTTTAGTATTCTGTAGGCAATTTAGATTTTTATAGAACTACGTAGGATTTGATTTGTTCTTTTTTTTATTGTAAAGTATAAACGGTTCAAGGAATTTTTAAAATACTCATTTATGCGTATAAACAAGAGTATAAACAAGACGTAAAATAATTTTCAGATACTGAATACATTTGCTACAAGGGATAGTAAACTACATAAAGTAGACGAAGAAGCATTTCATGATTTAATGCGCAAAAAGTTTGCATTAATGATAGAATGCCAAAAAAGTCTAGTCTATACTATTAAAAGTTAGTATATTTGTAATATTTTGGTACAAATTGTCGTGCGTTGCCAATAAAACTTTTTCCCATATTAAAGTTTTAGTTTTCTTAAATATTCTTCTAATGATTCATTCACTCATATTTATATTTTAGAATCCAATAAACTTCATTACAGAAGTCCAAGAATTTAAAATGCCCTGGCAAGCTTTTGAACAAGTTGAGTTGATAGTATTTTATGACGTTCCAAAAAAATCTAATGTAAAAACGAGGAAAAGAAAAAGAAGCAGTAAAAATGAAAGCGCTAATGATGAAGAAGGTGGAGCCAGTGCTAAAGAAAGTAAAGGAAATGTATGTTTGGAAGGATTTTACCTTCCAGCTTTTGAAAGGCGTGATTCATCTAATATTTGTGTCAGCAAATTTTATAGGTTCTTGTGTAATTTTTTGTAGTCATTTAAGTTAATAATGTCATATGCAAAGTCTGTACATAGAATTTGATGAATAAGTTCAGTATTTGATAGAATTCGTTGCTTCGTTGTTTAGATAGAAGGTAAGCTAGACGAAGAATCGAAAATTGAGTTATTTAAAAAACCGCAGTTGAGGAATTCAGATCGGCAGAAAGTTATCGACTTGTGCTCGTTAGCATCGTATTTCACACCACTCAAATTTGCCGCGGTTATCTATCTAATAGAAGTGATATTTTTACTCGAATTTCATTTATGATTTTCTAATAAAAATGATTTCATGTCTCGATAGATTTGTTTTGATTCTTATAACTATTAGCAACTGAAAACTTTTATATGGTTATTTCATGCATGCGTTAATTTGAAACACTGATAATATAGCTTTCCTCTCTTGTGCTTAAGATCTTTCAGTGGAACCGTTCACTAGTTTTTATATCAGTGTAATTTCATATAGTGTTAGTAAATGAAACATCAACAGTTTCAGATTATACTTATCATTTTGAAAAAAGATATAAAGATCAGTGCATGTTTCAGTTGTTGCCAAAAAAAAGAAAGCAGACGATATTTTTGCTCGAAACATTGGATAAGCTGCTCGAAAAACTTTTACCGAAAAGAAACAAGAAGTCACACGGTTTTTTGGTAAACAAAATAATATCAGAGTAAATGATAGCATTGTAGTTCAGATGTTATTATTAGCTAGGAAATGATATATTTTTAAATTTCATTAAACTGTCGGAATTATTTTTGTTGACAAATTAAACTGCAGCATAATTTAATGGATGATAATTTCTGTTAAGTTTCTATTAAAATTGTCGTTTTTCATCTTATCTAAAATAATTAGGCTAGCAATAATCTAGTGTCTTTGTTTCCCAGTTTTTTTTAATCTTATTTTTGTAGGCGTAGCTTAATAGTGGATTATTCAAAATAATCGCGGACTTATTGTTTCTAAGCCTCTAATTTACTTTAATTGTATTTTGTTTTATTTAAATTTGCATATCAAATTTAGGCTGTTCAAAAGAATACAGGGGAGAAAGTTTTGGATGGTGGTAATTCGAAGATGGTTTGGCACCTAATTTATTCTGTGATTCCTACATTATTCACCATTTTAAATGGCTCAGTTGATTATTTTAAAAGTTTTCTGGACACTTCTTCAGTTATCGATCGATCATCACATTTATATTATGACGATATGAGTGCTCTTATGTACTCATCACTGCTTTTATTCCACCGAATATTTTCGTCGTGAGTTTATCTTCAATACTGTAATTTGGCAAAGGAGCTTGCTCAAACAGCTTAATACTTTTATCCTGATTTTAAAAAATTTTACATTGAAACCGTTTTTATAAAAGTTTCTATAATCACTCTTCACACTCATCAATACTTGAAAATGGTTAGATTTGGTTCCTATGGTTTTATGAAAAAACATCATCCAAAGATTTGATTTCTATGATTAAAAAAATGTCATTAATCACATTCATTCCAGAAGCGACTTCATGAAACTAAACACAAATAATTCTGTAGAGGAGGAGGGATTACAAAGCAGTAGGGCTAGAAGGAGAAAAGCTGTAATGGAAAAATTGGAGAAAATAATGATTCAAGTTGGGGCTGTCGTGGACTCTGATGGAATTGTCGACACTGAGGTTATTTTTTTACCTTATTTATGGACATTTAGTTTAATACTCATTTCCTAAAACTTTGAAATTGACAAATAATATTTGTGCTTTATTTATGTTTTAATCATATCTCATGACTGTCTTCAGTTCGTTGTTGCGGATTTCTTCATAAGTATTGCTGAAACAGTTCCTACAGTGAATAGTGCTGTTGCTTTACTACAGTTGTTGTCATGCGATTTTGTGCTAACTCCTCAGAAGTCCAAAGTTGGTAAGTACGAAATGATTAGTTACAGATAACACTTACAAATTTAGTATATCTATTTCTTATCACATTCACTATTATAAAATATAGCTTAGACAAATTCACTTAGATCATGCAGCATTGTGATAATTCATTTTCTAGGGAAAATGATAAGTTCTTTTTTCAGCAAAGATAGCTCTTTCATATTTGAAAAAAGAATGGTTTGGTATGGAAGAGAAAGTACTTAAAGGTGCGATGCTTAATCGAGCAGTGTCAAGCATTTTGAGGTTGTGCTCATATGGTTTTGAATTTTTCTGTATTGCAAATTAATTTGCCAGTATTTAATTTAATATTTTATTTATATTGTTTCGAACGGTCAGCAGAAATAGCCGTAAATGCTATTCACTCGTATTATTTATCATTCTCATTATTGTTCTCGTTATTATTATTAATTATTGTAGATTAGTATTCATTATTATTTACGAGACGGTTTGCGAAATTTAAGTTTAATGTCGAGGATGCATTGTTATCTCCCTGTTTATATTTGAGCGCATTTAAAACAGTCGTGTAACTTTATATAATTTAATTGGGATAAGGCATGTTTTACAAAGAAAACTATTTTGGTTTCACTAGAAGAATTCATGAAATATAATCTTTCACCATTGTGCATTTTTTTTAAACTTAACTATTGGTTTTGTATTTTTCGCTGACGAAAATCTAAGGCCTTGATTTTCCTTTAGATATATTAAGCTTTTTCATAATAGCAGCACCATAGTTATAGATTGTATCTTTCATTTCGAAAACAAAATGAGCGACTTTCCGCAATTCAATGGATGCTAGCGAACAAAGTATCTGAATTAGTACCAGAGGAAGAAAGACGAAGAAGTAAAATTTCGTCTTTAGAACCGTGCTATGATCAAGATTTAGATGAAAACGAAGGATCGTCTTTCTTTGCATGTTTTAGCAAGTATGTAACTAAAAAAACTTTTGGGCAATTTTTTTTTTGAGAGATATATTTGTATTTCAGAAACTTAAGGAAAAACATCTTTCTTTCTGAAAACTTTGATGAAATTACTTTACATCCTTCGACTATAGGATTTTCATATTTGAAGGTGCAAAATAAGATTAACTAAACAGTCAAATTTAATCAAAAATTTGCGTACTTATAAATTCTAAGAATAACGCATTGAAAAATTATAAGAATGACAAAATTTGTGATCAGACCTATTTCAATATAAACCTTTTTTTTTAAATATTTTATGAATTTCTCTGATTTAAATTGTAGCCCAATGGTAATAATGTTGTAGAATTGATCGTACGTTTTGTGTTTTAGAAGCACGTTTTCTTCTGTATACAAAGTTTTGTTCTCTTCTTTGAATGAAACCATTAAAATTGTTTTGCCACTACAAGCGGTTGAATCTGGTACGCTGGAATATAATGAATGTTTTGCCCTTTGGAAGATTGCTGCCAGTACTTTTTGTTTGCTCACTTTACTAATTCGTGTAAAGGTATATTCCTATGATATCAAGATGAAAATTTATAAAGATTTTTTGCACGAAACCATTTTTATAAGATTTATTTAGACTGCATCTTTCTTAAGTGTTGTGGCTAATTGCTTTCTGAACATTTAACTAATAATGCTTCAAACTGTGCGTTTAAAAATGTTGAGTTTTCGTATGGACCAACTTAAACTTTAATTTGAAAAGTGGTTATTGTATTGAAAATATTGATTTTTCATACTTATTATTTAAATCCTAAATCTCTGGAATCTTTTTAGGAGCTGCGAAATGCCAGTGTATTACTAACTGCTGCTCGTGAAGGACGATTATTTCTGCAAAATTTTGTTGTAAAGAGTTCATTCATTTATTTATTGGCCGATGAATCGAGGTTAGCAAATCTATTTTTTCATTAATCATGTAATGTAAACACAATGTAACTTATGGATTAGTGATTCTTTTCTTCTCAGTATCTAGTTTTTATCATCTTTCACTAGTGATTCAGCTGATACGTTTGCTTTAAAATCTTATCACTCCAAGTTGGTTTTGGATTGAAACTTTACGCATTTATTGAAGATTCGCAAAATATGGCACTGGCGCAAATGCTCTTCTGAAAACAATACAGATTGGTAATCGTTCACTTCAAAATATGAGCGCTCACGCAAAGGTTTTGCTATTTTTTGTTGAATTATAAAACGTTTATACTAGTGAAAATAAAAACATTAGGTTGAATACAATTTGAAATGACAAGTATTATCTGTTTTAGTGAATTTCTTCACACGTATCTGCTGAGTATTTTATGTAGCCAATTCTGAACACAAAAGCCAGTTTACTTTACTTAGCTTAGAATCTAATTTAGTAATTGGTGTTTTGTTTATGTAGTGTTCCAGTCACATTAAGGCATGCTAAAATGAACTATTGGCTACTGTTATTTCTTGCAGAGTACAAAATGCGGATCATTATTAAAATTATTGCCCCAGTTAAGAGCTACATCAGAACAGTTCATCAGAGCAGTTCATAAATTGATGATCGGTATCGATTGTGACAGCGCATTCCAAATTGGTTTATTAAAAAGCAGAAATTTGGATGTAAACTTTCAAATCTTTATTGTTTTGAGTTTCTGAAAATGATTGTATTTTGGCAAAAAGAACTACCAAACAGTATGAGTTTGGATGGAAAAGTACAAATCATATTTTAAACTATTCATATTTTTTTATGGTTTTGAACTTCTAGAGACAAATCTAGCTCTAAATTTTCAAAATTTTTTAAGTTTCGTAAATATGAAAAATAAATATTTCAAGTATAACAAGTAACGGCTGATCTGTGACATGTAACACAAACTATTTCCAGGATCACATTTATTCAAATTAGGTCTCAGTTTTTGTTGATATCTTTGTTTAAGCTACAATGTTCAGGGAGAAGAATTAAAAGCAGTCGAAATTGAAGATTATGTTGCTGAAGATGCACAACAAGAAGCAATGAATGATGGAGATAATGAGGAAACGGGATCTGCTGAGGTAACTTTCCTGCAGTCACGAAAACAGTTTAAGAATTTTCTGCTTAAATTTTCCTTGCTTATCAGTAATAGTTTTGGTTTGGTTTCTATATTTGTCTTAGTACTGCGAAATGTGGTAAACTTTATAACAAAATACAGGCCTTCGTTTCAGGAACTAAGCGACATTAGCATGAATTCAAATGATGAAAGCCCAGTTTTCTAACTTTCAGTTCTCTTTCCTTTCCATTTTAACCGGCATCATTCTAGACGATTGTTTTGCAATTGACATATTGTAAATTTTCAAAATTTATTTCTTGCTGATGTTGTGGCTGCTTGTTTACACAATCTCCAGTAATAAATGTCATTTTTTTAAACACTCATGTAAAAATTTTGTGATGAATACAATCAATCTAAGTTGCTTGTTATTTTGTAGTGATACTTTTCACTAATTATTGATGGAATACTTGGAGATAGCTGAAGATGAAGTTTTTGAATAAAAAATTATTAATCGCCCTTAAAAGTTGCATATTATCTACTCTAACTGATGCTTTGATTGCTTGTTTCGTAGCCTTACAAATTATCATCTGTAAAATTATCTGATGTTTGAGGCTGAAATATTTTTTATTTTTATTTCAATTATTTTAACAATATAAAATGATAACTAATGAGCAGTTGAATAATGGCATCAATACAAGATCAAGTAAACAAAATGTAAAATGAAGCTGCGAAAGATAGAAAATTACAATATTCGTACGTATTTGTGTAAGAGATTTTTAACAACTGCAAATGATCACAATAAGGAGTGACATTGAATTATATATATCTAGAGGGAATCAGGCGGATAGGAATCTGCTTTCCATTAGTTGATTCATATATTTTGCAGTTACACAAGCTCTGTGGTGAGAGAGATTTTCGTTTACTGCAAAACTTTCTCCAATAGTAATTAGCACTAGCATCTTCAACATAGAAATTTCATATTTCAGGTCGTGCTCACGTCAAAATCCGAAGTCTTTATGATGCGATGAATCTGTGATACATCAGAATTCATATCATAAGCCACAAAGCATTTCTAGTTGTTTCCAGAGATTTTCTATTTTTTTAAATTAAAAATGATTGGTTGAGGACTTTAAAAAAGCCGTAGAAAAGCATTACTTAGGATTTCACTCAGGATAATTAAATCCATTCCATACATATGCCATTTGTTATATAACACATAAATCTTCAAAACATATGACTCGTGTAGAGTTCTTCTATTCAAATTTAAATAACTAAAGTGATGGCAGTGAGCACAAATCTTGACTGTATAAATTACTCGATGAGCACAGTTGGTAAGGATAGCACGTGCTCACCTTTTATAATTCTCATCTATGTTCATTAACAGATATTTTCGGACTAGAAATTTCTGGTTGATCACAGAACTGCGAGCTTTATCGATACTGCTAACGATATCTTCTTTAAAGTACATCGTCCGGTTCAGTTTTTCAAAAATTCATTTGTAGTATTGAAACTATCCATCGACAAATCATTCGAAGAACGAAACGATATTAAAGAGCTGCCATATTCCAAATATATTAGATATTAATAAATTATTCATATGCCATTAAACTGATGGCGTTGGTAGTACCTTCTATACAACCATCAGTCACTTGAGGCATATTTTATTTAATTATTCAAAATATTTAAATTCATCTTTCTGCAAATTATGTCACTCCAGAACAGATCCACGATTGTGACAGTTTCTTCCTTTAACAAGCATCCACGTTTGATAAAAGATAGTTGGTAATAATACCAACTATTTAAAAATAAACTTGGTAATCAATGCTGCCACCTACAACTGAGTTTCTGTAGGTGATGAGAAAGCTGACTGATTTATAAGGTCACTGATGTTAAAATCGTCGGCATCTTTTATCAGCACCATGATTTTTGAAGGATGATGAGTAAACAAAAAGTATCGGGTACAGCATGGTAAGTATCTGCAGGCCATGTTATATCGCCGTTTGATGGATGAAAAGTCGGTTATAGAATTCCATCAAGTTAATTATTCAAGTTAAGATAGCTTTGATGGAATGTTCATATTTATTGCTGTATTCATATCATCATCTCTTCATATTCCAAAACAGAGTTAAGTTCAAGTGAAATATTGAGTCTTCATAAATTGTTTGGCACTAAAATCTTTGATATTCGTGCCATCCACAACCATCAGTAAATTATAGTAGAATAGTTTCCCAAGTTGTAGAATAGTTGAAAATACATAGGCAATGAGTTGCATTTCTCGACATCAGTTAGTGCTAAATTCATTAGTTGTAGAAAGTGATGCAGAATGGAAGTGATAGCATTGATAATATCTTCTTCTCAATCATTCGTGTTTATTGCCAGACATTTTTCGTTTCTTGCAGTGCTCAAAGCACTGCTTGTCGTAATTGAATCTCGGTTGTTCTTCACTTCTCTTTCAAAATCGTGATTAAAATGTTTCGTCCTTGACAGCCCAAAACTCGAAAACGGAACGGGAATCAGGATCGCCAAGGACATCACATTGTATGTCTACTTTGCTACATTAGTTCGATAGATATGCCGGATATGGTAGCAGAACTCTCCAAATAAAATTATGTTCATTTCTGGGATCCTCCTTAATGCATTATGCGACTTTAAGTTTCCTTCTTCTTTAGACATCTTGAAAAAATTAATAGATAGATGGAGGAATTGAAAATTTAAATACAATGAGTGATAAAAATAGCTATAGGATAGAAAAACAGGTAACTATAAATTCGATAGATTTAAAGGGAACTATTCATTACAAAAATTAAAATTAGGAAAGAGATCGTAGAGAGCATAAAACAACTGAGAACAAAATAAATTAATAATTATGACTAAAACAGAAAAAAGATAGATTAGGAAACAATGATATCATTTTAACTTATTAAGACAAAATGGTTATGAAGCACAGAGTCCACTAAAATCAAAACTGCTACTTCTTAAAGAGAGAACAACATTCGTAGAAATAGCAGTCCAGAGATGTAACAAACAATATAGTAACAACAGCATATTATAATATATCATACAAAATTTCGAAAATAATTAAAAAACATTGAAAAAAACCTTTTAAGAGCGCGTGTAAAAATCAGGTAAATTCATTACGAGGATCCCATAAGCAAATTTTCTGCATGCACAGCTTTACATAAAGCGGTTAGCAGTCTGACATGAAGCCACGGTTGAGGCTTAGATAACCTGAAAAAATGGATGTGCCATGTCGATACTTACACTTTTTGAAATAAAAACGAACGTTTCGTAATTTTAACCAGTACGAATAACGTCATTTAACTTGGAAGTATAATTGCCGTAGATTTCTACGTGAACACTCCCAAATTTTATGATATAAATTTGGAAAAAATTAATGAACTGCCAAAACAAAATGGCTTATGTAATTGCTTGACAAGGATCCGAACTTTTCTTACGAAAACTAAACGTCAGAAGACTGTAATTGGAAGTTCATTAATCTGATTTGTAATACTTCTGAAGCACAAAAATGAATTCATGAGACATAATTTTTTAAAATGCTCAGTTTAGAGCGCGTATTTTTATTTTTTCACTCAGAAAAATTTGGTGGAATTCGGATCAGTTGCAGGCATTAGAAACTGTCTTGTAGCTTAATCTTGAAAATTTGCGAATCTAAGAGATAGCATTAAAGATGGCTAGAGATGTACCAATTCCATTTTAAATGCGGTGGTCACTCTTCTGCGCTAAACTTCGGAATCACAAAAAAACTAATCTTAACGAAACTAGATGATGACCGTAAAAAGAATATGACATACTAATATTGTTTACAACAGCTTTCTTCTTAATTTAAGACCAAGCAAAATACCCAAAAGATTGAGTCTGTTAAGAATTGCTAACATTTACATTCAACAAATGCTCCAAGAGATCACATAATAGACACCGAACAACTAAACAAGCAACACCACACCACACCCACCTCAACACTCAATTACAGTACAGTAACGCTAGTAACAACCGCTCTAATATGTACAGAACAGCCAGCAGAGTGGAAACAAGTTCCGACACTTTTTACAGATTAACAGCTTTTCACACAGTCTCTTACTGAAACGTTAAAATCCCAACGTTAACATTTTCTTGCATAATGTATGCAAATCTGAATCACAGCAATAAATAGTTGAAACGCTTATGTGAATGTAACAAAAAAGTGGGTAGAGAACTGATTGGATCTTTCAGGTAGAAATGTTTCCATCGTATAACAAAATTTATGATACAAATAGCAACACGTTCGTATCATCAGGAACATTTGCGAATAGTGAGAAGATTGTGATGTTTCTCGCGTGTTTGCTTCAAAAATTAAGTTCTCGATAGAAGTGCTCAAACTAAGAGTGTAATAGAATTTTATGAAAAATATGAAAGATTCAATTACTGTATTCTGAGAATAACGTGAAACTATGAAGGCCCAGAATGTTTCTCACTTTAATACAATTCTATTAAGAAGCTGTTTTCACATTTGAAAAAAATAAGAAGAGGACAAAATTCTACTTTAATTTGACAACAGCAATATTTGGAGGAGTGAACATACCAAGGTGACAAACTGAAATGGTGGATAGGATTAATTAAAAAAATTAATCTATTTTCACTCAAATACTTACCATCTTTCCCAACGTAGTAAATTTTATCAACGTGGAAATAATCGCAAATATTTCTCAAATAAGTAAATTAAGGCATAAGTATTTAAGTTTATTCAAAATAGTAAGTAATTTAAATGTAATTTTTTTTGTACTGGACGTCTATTGCACGTTGCATTTTCACTGATAAATTGAGCAGTTTTTGAGTATAGCAGAATTATGATAAGCATTTGTTGCTAATTTCAAGTAAAACAATTCTGCTTGCAGTACTTATTACTTTAATCAACCATACAAAATTTGCCCCAAGTTAAAGTTCATTATGAATTCATATAATACTTTATGAAATGCAATTAAATGCATTTCTTATAAAGTAAAGTAGTTTCAGAAACCATTAAAAGAAATTAGGTCCTTTTTGGTAAGTAAAAGTGTAATTTTAGTATGTGTTTTCAAATCAATTTTTGCAGTAAACTCAACTATAATGCGACTCCCGCGGGAAAATAAATTCATCTTAGAAATGAAATTTTTAAAAATTTTCATTCCATTCAACCAAAACATTTGCCTGGAAAAGATTGATTCGAATTCAATTAACGAAGAATAAACT